CTCTCTCCCTCCTTCCTCGCTGTGCTGTTGATGTCTGTGAGGAAGATAGCAGATTATGTAGCAAGTTTACCCTCCGATATAATGGCGAGCAATGACAGCCAATCAGCCTCAGCTGAGACACTGAGGCTTTGTCATGCTTGTTGCTGGTTACTTTATGTAATGTGCCTATTTTTTAGGGGGTTGCTCTGGCCCCTGCAGGTGCATGTTATGCTATGGCCTGAAACCAAGGAGGTGGGCTAAGTGCTGACGGAGCACAGAAAACAGCTACTCTGTCTTTCTCAAACATCTTCAAGGTCTCTGGGGAGGGATAAATGCCCATGAGAAGGTGCTTGCTTTGGGGAGAGAGCTCTGGAGCTGTACAGGGTAAGTCAGCTTCTTTTGGATGATTTTCACCTGATAATGATGTAGAACTAAAACTTTATCCTACAGGCTCATGCGGAGTATAAAGTCTATTTTAGGTTTTTCACATTTGCTGTTTAGCAAATTATTATTAAGTAAGAATTTGTCAATTGCAGTTATTGTTTTATTCAATGATTGAAGTCCTGAAAATCATTTTCAACGTATTCTAAAGTATAAGTTACTTGTGCAATGTTGGCTATACATGATAAAATATGAATCACTTGTTTTTTTGTGTTATTTTAATAAGGTTTCATATCCAAAGAGTTAATTCTGTGAGGTTGTCTGTGTCTCTCCCTTCTAGGTCCACACAGCGGCCAAATCGAGAGGGGTATCTGTACTCGCTGTTTCTTTTTCCTATGCATATACCTCTTTGAGATTTAACTTTAAAGAGGCATAGGGCATGGGAAAATGGGGCTGCAGAGGTATTTCACCGACTGGACTACCCCTGGTCAACCAGCACAGCCCTAAGTTCTCCCTGTTCCCCCATCTTGGACCTGAACCAGAGGACTCCAGAAAACAAGACCACAACAAGATACCCTGAACTCAGTGGAGAGACTATACCATACCTCGTAATGAGGAACTGGGTTTTACAATGTCCTGAAATATTCTATCGTCACCTCCTTTATTTGATATTATGATGATAATACTGTAGTACATTTCGTAGATGTCAAAGTTGTTGTTGTATTACAGACTTTCTATATTGATTAATGTTTTGCAATGTTTGTTGTCCACCTAGTGGATGGAATTGTCTGTTGTTGTTCAGTAACAAAGTCTGTAAAACATTTTTGGGTGTGCTGAATAACCAATTATTGATCTTCAAATGTTTGTGTCTTATTTTCTATTATAGGACAAATGTATCCCTTAAATTGAATAACCATGAATAGCTCGTGTGGAATCAGATAATCAAATCTTAAATAGATGTACATTTTAGTTATTCTTTGACTTAGTTAAAATACCACCAAACCACCTTGTATTTCCACCATGCAGAAATGACTTTATGGCGATTTTAACGGAACATTCACACATTAATAAGATTTCGAGGAATGGCAATTTTTTTAAGGTCAAGGGCATTGCAAAAGATTGTTTAGATCCCAGTAAAGTCCCCCATTAGCTTAGCTATGGAAAGGTTACACTTTAATAATTAAACAGTAGTTTTTTCTCAATACTATGAGATTTAAAGAAGCATATAAAGTGGTTATGGTAAAGAGAAAGGTTTTAAATAGTGTGTTTCTGATCTTATCATACACATTTTCCACAAAACAGGAATTTCCGTGATTTTCCAAAATGATGCAATTTTCTTAAAACGATGCTAGTTTCTAAGAACTATGCACGGTTCTAAGAATCTTGCCTTTAATTCTGAGAATTCAGTTGCAATAGATGCTTGCACTTCTTGAAGAATGTCTCCTGTATCAGAGCATCTGGAGCCTAGGATAAAATGGAAGAGTGAGTGATGGGAGAATGACATGTGTGCTCATTATGCAGAAAACAGCCATTGGGTCTATTATTCCCACCCTACTCAGTCCTGTCGGCTCCTCTCTGTCTGCAGCCATTCAGCCACAGACCAGTCAGCTCTTAGCAGGGCAGTTAGCACATTCTTACCTTACTACACATGCTAGTTTGCCACAATGGTGAATTATTAAAATTAACCATAAAGTAAAGTAAACTGCAGTTCATTTTGAAATACTGTAATAGACATGAATGTTGTGCCTCCTGGTGGGTATTACCAGAATAATGTTTTGTCAACCAATGACAGAAAACATTGTATAAATGATATATTTCTGTTGCTCAGTTTGTAGTATCTGTGATTTACTTCATACTGTGATTTATTTCATTATAACAAACTGTGTGCTTGACACAATTTTAGTAAACAATCAATCAGATATTGTGACTGATACAACTCATGTATACAGTAAATGGATGAGTAGCACTTACAAACTTCCAGCTCTCCTCAATACCCAGAGACAATCAAGTTCAACCCAAATACAATCCCTTCCTGTCCAATACCCACCCTCAGATCAAACATTTTACATTTTTGTCATTTAGCAGACTTACAGTTAGTGAATACATATATTTTTTATACTGGCCCCCCGTGGGAATCGAACCCACAACCCTGGCGTTTCAAACGCCATGCTCTATCAACTGAGCTACATCCCTGCCGGCCATTCCCTCCCCTACCCTGGACGACACTGGGCCAATTGTGCGCCACCCATGAGTCTCCCGGTCGGCTGCGACAGAGCCTGGATTCGAACCAGGATCTCTAGTGGCACAGTTAGCACTGCGATGCGGTGCCTTAGACCACTGCGCCACTCAGGAGAAACAAACGCAGACGGACTGATTCAGATTTAGCTGGCTTTAGATATTTACAATAGTTTATCCACTCAGAAATCGACTGTTTGGAATGATGAATTGAACAGGTATTTATTGTTGTATTAAAAATACAGTCACTTTTATTTTAACATAAATTAGGCCTACACTATCCTTTCCATTTAGCCTAGACAATACCATCATACTTCATGGCTGAGAATGAATGTCAATCAAAGTTACTTCCAGTAGCCAGACAGTTTCCCCTGAGTTCCAATAGGCCCCCAACACCACACTCATATGCAGATCACCATTTTGGTCATGCAAAAACAGTGCCTCTCAGTCTACAGACAAGCAGGGAAAGCAGCAACATATTTAACCGTTGGTTGTTATATGTGCCTTACCAAACTCAATGCAAGAAGCAAAACGATTCATTAGTCTTTTTTTTTTGCAGACCCAATACCAGTCTTGTGTTCGATGGCCCAATACCAGCAGCAATAGGTGTCAGTATCCCTTAGATTTAGCATAAACCATAGATTATGCTAAAATTATAATTTAGGCCTATTGTTTGGAAAACGTGAAACTCTAAATGTCTTTGTTTAACAGAGTGCACAGTCAGGGACTCAATACCAGAGCTGTGATTTTGCAGGACTGCCTACATTTTTCGACATTTACATTTTAGTCATTTAGCAGACGCTCTTATCCAGAGCGACTTACAGTAGTGAGTGCATACATTTCCATACTGTAGTGAGTGCATACACATTTCATACTACTCCTCGATCATATCTGTGCATGTTTGACCTCAGATGCACTGCAAGCCCTGATGCACTGCAAGCCCTGATGCACTGCAAGCCCTGAGTGTCAGATGTTCTGGTTTTTAGAACCAACTTCACTCAGAACTGGTTGAGATAGAGCATCTCATCCGACAAGAGGTGACATAAATAGACTAGTTTGGTAAATGGGATGGACCATTAAATTACTCCAGAATTTTTTATGACGGAAATTCGGAATGACTCAATCAGCCAACCTATTTAGCTGGTATCAACTAATGACTTTAACGTGAGGCAATATACACCTCTTGCAGACTTTAGGGCGCCGTCCCTCGCGCTTCTCGAGTAAGTGCGAATCCTCCGATTGAGAGACAATAGAGCTCAATGATCTTGTAGTTACCTCTTCTTTGATGTCTCTTTCAACCTCTTTGAAGATGCAAATCTCCTGCTAGCAGAGTGCAGTCAAGGCTCGGAGCCACACCATACCACCGGACGCCATCGGAAACATTTGTCTACAGCAGCCAGCATACAGACGTATCTATCTGTATGCCGCTACATGTTGCTCTAGACAGATTGGAGTGGCCTATACTGCCTACTGACATAAATATAACGTTATCGGAAGACCACCCTTCAAGTCGGTATTAGATCATGTAACAAATTGATATTTTCTTGAGCAGTGAATTGATGTAATGCTTTTGTTTGCGTTTTTAATAAAATACCTAAAATAATTTGTTACCAAAATAATATGAGTTCATAATGTGAAGGGTTGGTTGAAGAAACGCACCACTAACACTTGCCATCCCCCTTCATTCTTCACATCGAGTATTTGCGAAACCTATAGATGCAATGCGCGATACTAAAATCAGCACCAAAGAGGAATCAGCGACAAGTCATTGCCATACATAAAGTTTGCTGAAATTATACCGCTTGTTGCGAGACCTTATTCACATGGAGATTATGACAGGCGTTTAAACACCAAGCCATTGTGTTCGTTCATACACGACCCATGCAAACGTATCGTGTCAATAACTAGTCTCATAGCTATAGACCTACTTATGATGTCATGGTTTTATTTTTAGTTGGCCTAGAATTTGCATTGTTTTTGGTTTAATTAAGGAAGATCAGTGAACGCATATGTGCATGAAATAAGCCTCTGATTGTAGAGTATCTGCTTGGTTAAAAGACAATTATTCCAAGGACTGAACCAAAACTAATATGGAATAGACCATGCATAATGGAGAAAACAAGCAAAAAGCAAGAAGCTAGCAACAATTATACATTTTATTTGTGAAAAACGTCATTTCCGAATGTTTACATATATTTATCTGTATGTACATATAACTTAGTACTTTGCAATTAATTACAATGTCTATAATCCCCTCAAAAAGGACAAGGATGGAGACAGATCTAGATTCTAGATACAAATTCCCCAATTGGAATCAACCAGTTGCAAGTCAAATAATTAAACAGAAGTTCACTATTAAAACAGAAGTTATACTATAAGTATCAGTCTTTAGGATTGCTGTCCAATCAGTAGTAACAGGGCGCCAACATCATGGGGTGGATTGGTTTTCGATGAATCATCTGTTGCATGGGGACTCTCTGAATGTGATGCGGGCAGAGAGCATGTGTGCTCTGGGCGAAGGTGGGGAGCTGTCCACCATGCGCTTGGTGCTGAAATAAAGGAGCTGCGGCGTAGACCAGCGGTGGCAGCAGAGATGCTGGAGGAGCAAAGAATTCTGGCCGCAGGTCTTGGACCTCTCGCTTCAGCTTCATCCTTCTGTTTTGAAACCATGTTTTCACCTGAAAGGAAATCATAAAATATGATACATTATTGAATGCTAACGTTGTAATGTTGTTCTTGATCAAATCATAAATCCAAGTCGTGAAGACATATCATAGCTTAGGCTATGGCTTGTGCCCCTACCTGAGTTTCAGAGAGCTTCATTTTCTCAGCAATCTTTCTCCTCTGAGTTGTACCGAGGTATCTGTGTTTGTTGAAGGTTCGTTCTAGTCTGCAGATCTGATCAGAGGTGAACTTGGTTCTCATCCTGCGGTGTAGTGCAGACTCGCTCTCGCTATCGTCCCCCACCTCGCTCTCAGAGCCCGTCGTGTAGCCACAGCTATCTGGAAAGTTAAACAAACAAAATATTGTCAGTCAATCATCCAGAAATCACAAGTAGGTTTATATGTAACACACTCCAACATGAAATGCTCAAATTGATTGTTTTGAGGGGGAAATTATACACTTACCGTTTGGAGATGATGGAGTGTAGTCGTCTTTAGTAGCAAGCTCTTTCATGTCGACATGAAGTATCACTTCAGTAGGTACTTTCGGCTCAACTGAAACCTGATTATACATTGATGGAGCCCGAGGAACAACTACACAAGGCATATGAGACCTTGTCCTGTCATATGTTGTGTCTTCTTCGATGTCCACTCGGTCCGTTGAAGTGTTGTAAAAACTTTGAGATAGCCATTCTACTGAGAAGTTCGCCATGGTGTGCCCTCTTGTTGGTGCGATCTGGTGGTCTGTTGTAGGCCTCTAGCCTCGGGTCCTCGCTCTATATAGGAGACACCCCTGTATTTGCATATGCAAAGGACTCTCAACGGAACGATAAAAACTTGATGGTCGGTGTAATGGAAATTAATAGATGTTGCAATTGTGGTTTTTCACAAGTTCAGTAGCCTAGTTGATGTGTCCCGGCGCCACCATGTCTGAGTAGGCTATGAAACTCCGTCTTGTCAGGTATAGCCTCATGGTTGCCCATCTCAGAATGAAATTATTTAGGCTTGTCAATTATTCAAGAGTATGACTTTATTATAGGCCATTATAATATTATATTAGAGGGGGTTGAACAAAACTGCTTTGATTATTTTACATTATTTCATTTGGAAAAGTAAATTCAATATTTTTATGTATCTGTCAAAAGCATTGGCATGATTTATTGATAGCCTACATTAATCTAATATGGAAATATATAGGCCCTATATGCCCCTGCAATGCAAATATTACCCCAAAAATGTATGCTGGCATACGGCCTTTTTCTATACGTTAAATTCTTTATTGCGCTGATATTCTATGGGGCCAGGCTACTGTAACTATCATTTGTGAGACCATTGTTCCAGATGTAGACAGAAGCGCCCAGCTGTCTGCTCGCCAACATGAAGCTGATTGCTGATGAGGACCAATTGTCTTTCTGACAAAGTGGGTGTGATTGCTGTCAGCATGCCTAAACGGAAAATGAGAGAACCACATTTGATCTCTGTTTACTTGTGAATTTGAAAAGGCATTTGCTTTAGGCCCCTGCGGAATCGTGATTCTCAATCAACCACGTTCCATAGCATGTCTCAATGCAGTTCCTAAATTTCATTCAGCACAACAACATCACTGTACATTTTCATAATTACTGCACTGTTGGAACTAGAAAAAAGCATTTCGCTGCACCTGTGATAACATCTGCAAATCTGTGTACGCGACCAATAAACTTTGATTTGATTTAATTGCATAATATAGCCTACAGTATTTGCCCCCTATATCGTATCTGTCAGTATTTGTCTGTATGGGTGGTTTTGTGATCTATAGCCTACCTCCTTTAAATGATCACGCTTCAATGACTGGTTTTCACATGTATTTATATAGACAAAGGTGTCCTATCTATTACCTACTTCAAGACATAGGGTCTCAGAAATCGTATCACGTAATCCCAGTGTTACCTCAGGCTGAACTTCAAACCTGAGATCGGGCTCTTTAGCACACAAAACCCCAGACTCTCTGGAGCCAGTCCCTAGGGCTCATGTGGTAAGTGTAAACTCATCAATGACAGGCGGAATTAGGACTAATTGTTGACCATGATCTCCCCGTTAGCTAACCTTTGAAGTGCCGCATTAGAGACAAACAGAATTAGTTGACGCGCATATGAAAGCACAGTATGTGGGCCACTGCTGTGGTGGACAAGAAGAGCGGGAAGTGACGTGGATGATACAGCCTAAAATTGAGTTGTTCTGTCAGTATTTCATTGATTCATTCAAGCTATATGCAAAGGCCAATATATAATTAGTTTTGTAGGCCTAAGATCTGTTATCTAGTAGGCATGGGTCAACATCAGGGAGAGTAGCTGCTGCCGTGGCAGTTTTTTTGCCTACAGTTCTGTTCAACACCATCTACTCTAATGTCATAAAGGCCTATAATGAAGTCATACTCTTTAATAATTGACATGCCTAAATAATTTAAATCTCAGATGGGCAACTAGGAGGCTATACCTGACAAGACGGAGTTAATGGGGATCCTTAATAAATACAAAACATACGAGTACAAACATCAGGGAAGCTGCCAGAATGACAACTCTGGCCCAAGAGCCAATCAACTGATCCCCAACCACACTGCGTATCATGACCCTGGAGCCTCTATTCTTGAATGATAGATCAATATGATCTATTCATGGTACCACTAATCCAGTAATCAAAATAATGCGATCATCCTACATTTATCAGAATTTAGTTAATCTGCCTATACTATCAAACTATTGTTGCTATCAAACTTGGAAATGTTGACATTGCATATGAAAGTGACCAAGTAGAAAAGTAAGGTTGTGATATAAGATATACTTTATTGAATGATAAATATACTTTAATCTCTGTACATCTTTATACGAAATATAAACATTTTTCACATCCAAGAAAAAACAACAACTAGATTGCACTTGATTTTTTAAGTGTTAGAGTGGAATGTTCAGTGTGTAGCATATTGTCCTTAGTATAAATGTGCGTTGGACATCATCGGGTGCTGATGATGAGAAACCATCTGTTTCATGGGGATCTGTTGCACCATGGGCGGGTAAATCACGTAGTTTGCAGCGGGGTATGAGAGGTGCTGTCCACCGAAGCCGGGGTACTGAAATGGTCGCATGGGCTGGAACATCATCTGAGACTGAGCGGGAGCGAGGTACTCAGCGCGCAAGTCTTGGAGCTCCCTTTTCAGTTTCATCCTCCTGTTCTGAAACCAAGTTCTCACCTGAAACATAACATGAAAACGATCAGAACCAAATGAACACTTATGTAATCGAATCAAATACAAATACACAATGTATAGGCCTAATGACAAAAATGTGCATACCCATTGGGCACAAACTGGTTGAGTCCACGTTGTTTGAACCAACGTGGAATAGACCTTATGAAAAATATATGCACTCACTAACTGAAAGTTGCTCTGGATAAGAGCGTCAGCCAAATGACAAAAATGTAAAAAATGTAAAACGTTATAATTGATGTCTGTGTCCAGTTGTTAGTTTACATTTAGTTTACTTTCTTACCTGAGTTTCAGAGAGGTTCAACTTCAGTGCAGTTTTGACTCTTTCCCCAGCATCTGGATATTTGTGCTTGTTGAAAATCTTTTCCAGCTTTTCTATCTGCTCCGGTGTAAACCTAGTACGCACACGTCGTTGGCCTCCGTCTCTCTCTCCCTCGCTCGCCTCTTCCACCGAGGGACATTCCGAGGAGGCAGCCTCACTGTCATACCCCGAGGTGTACCCGCTGTTTTCTGAAACTGTGATAACATATCAGTTAATACACTTCATCATTATACACGTAATATTAAGTAATTGTATCGTATAGTAAATTGTACTTACGACTTGGGGAAGAGCAGGTTATCGGATGCTGAGGTGAGCTCAACCTGGATTCTAGATTTTTTGGTTCTTCAGTGGAATCCGTGAGTTCAATCCTTGTGGTCTTTGGTTTTGGTTGGAGATATATCTTGTTATAAGATGTTGGCGGTCGAGGCTGGACCATGCAAGGAACATGAGGTCTGAAGTAGGTTGGCATAGTATCCACAGGTCCTTTTTTCGGGTTGGTGTTGTGATGGCTCTGTGCCAGCCAGTCTACAGAGAAGATCTTGACCATGTTTGCTTCTAGGAGCTCTGTGTTGGTCAGCAAACTATCTGAGGTGGGTCAGAGAATGTTGTGACAATACCTGTTGAGGCCCTCCCTATATAGGTCCGACCCTCTCCAAAATTTGCATCTGCAAAGCCGTGTTAACGCCTGATCGATTCCCAGTGATTGGGGCCTAATGGGTCGTTGTTGAAGCCTTTACACATCCTGTGATTGTGTGAAAGCCTGGCGCCACCAAGTCTGTGAGAACCAGTTGAGCTCATGCATTTGTCTGCCTCAGCTGAAACCATACCGAAACATCACATACAGAGGGGGAGAGTCCTCCTCTGCATCATAGTTCTAAGGATATGATATGTTGACACATAAAGGACTACAATATGTTTATTTCATAAAAAATAAGGACGAATAGATCACACTGAAAACAGCAGACCAATTAAAAACACTATGTAATCAAGATAACAGGTTTTGCCATAGGCCTTGACCTAATAAAAAGGAAACCTCAATATGACTAAACTTATAACATCATGCAGCAACACAAGTCAGTGAGGAGACAATTGTGTCTATATCTGTACCTTGATCCGAAAAGTGGCACAACAGGTCCAAGAGTGCTGGGGCGATCTTCGTTCCTGGGGCCTGTAGTTTATCCTGATCTGGTAACCTAACCAGGTAAAACTCCAGACCTTATACAGTATGACGTGATTAATCAGTTATAAAAATGATATATATGGGCTATGATGGGACCAGTTTTTCTAATCAAGTCACATGGTTAAAAAAATATATATATATTGGCAAAACTCCTGGGCCAAACTGCAGCAACCTTGTACATGTTCATATTAATTATATTTTAAAGCTAGACTAACAGACACAGTGACAGAAACATGATTGGACAATATAACTGCTTTGTGTATGTTTGCATTATGTAGGCCTGCCCAATGCAACTGTAGGCCTAATAACTCACAGTCTATTGTGATTATTGATTAACTCCAGTTAATCATTTTTGATTGAACAAGTCTAGGTACAAGTTTGAACATAATCCAAATTTGGACAGAGGATGTGTGGACGAGTTGACAAATCGTGAGGCAAATCGGTCTAAAAAACAGCACTTTGCCCTTCCTTTCAATGCTTTTGCATCAATATTTTTTATTCAACTAAACCAAAAGAGGCGGGTGTCTGCTCCCACCTGATTGAAAAGTGTTGGGGAAAATGCGTGTTCGCCACACGTTTTCAGCCGGCCCAGGATCATACGCTTACATTTCAGGCAATCACTCTATGATTTTATTGGAATGGAATGCTATTGTATAATACTTTATAGTTGACCACTGATATAATTTGTTTAATGACTTTACACCATATGCAATATTACCACCAACATTTCTCAGCCTGCAGTCTGATCATTTACATCATTGCTTTCTAAATCTCAGCCCCTTCCCCGACACTAAAATCAAATGTAAAGCAAAGGCAAGTAAAATACTGCTCTAATGGTTTAGTATTAACACCTCTTCGATACCCTGGTGAGCACTGGCGCCACTGGCCCAACAGACAGCAGTTGGCGCAGTCGGTTTAAACATTACAGATCAAAGGTATTACAGTAGCAACACAATTAGGTTTGATTGTCCGCCAGTTGAAATGTAAATAGTGGAGAGCAAGCTGTAAAGAAGTCTGAAAAACGCCTACAATGGCAACATGTGGTTTTGCATAGCTTACAACTGCGTAAAGTATCCTCAAATAGGCCTAAACAAAATTGCATTCAAGCGAGATGTTCTCCAAAAAGAATGTCCAAAAAATCTAGAAATGGGACGTTGAAGAAATTTGGTCAACCCCAAATGATCCAACCAGGCCAATGTTGCCAGGTGTTCCTTCTCTCTGTATGCGAAGCCCTTCACGTTTCAGTCTCTTCAGATGGAATACCCCCAGCAGCTACGGGACAATAACCCTAAAATGATCGCTTAGGTATGACAATGCAGATAAGGATATATTGAATGTCTCCTTTATCGATGATCTGACTATTGCTGTGAAGGCCTTCTCAGCCTCCCAATTACGACCCTTTATCTCGTGCGCTTTGAAGATGTGCCCTGATTCAGTCAGATAACAATGGAAGCTGTCCGGTCCTCACGGGACGCCGCCGGGGGAAGTCGCCTCCATACAGAGCATATTTCCTCGCCTCTGTGGCAAGGTCCTTAGTAGTCGGATACAAATTGGACCCCCAACTTTAAGACACCAACACACGCACACAATGAGTCTGCCACTGTGGCATGCTCTCCTCTCCGATCCTCAGTGATCAGGTTTTTTATTTTTATTTGTTGTATTCCTATAAATCCATACAACAACATAAGTAAGATACAATACATATTTTCACAGATAAAGTTTGCTACTAATTTTAAGCATGGTGGGCTACATTCTCGTCCCTTGGTTGATTAATTATATAAAAATCATGAACTTTTCTTTCAGTCAAAAAATATATGAACATATGTGGGAAAATACCAAAAAACAGGCATTGGCATAAACTAACATATTTAGCACGTTGACATCAGGCTCTGAAACATCAAAGATTACAATGTAGCTTAGTTTGCGTTTTTAGATCCTTGAAATAGTGCTAGGAGGCATACAATAATTGTAACTACAGCACTTCATTCTCATATTAAATACACCATTTTATACACCAACTTAATAAGATGTCAATGTACTAAATATGGTAGTATGATTATGCCAATGTTTAGTTTTTGTGTTTTCCACATACATGTATGTTGATATATTTTCTGACTGAAAAAAAAGAGAAGTTAATGACGTTTTATCATTAATCAACCAGGGAGAAGGATGTAGCATAGCAAACTCAATCTATTCAAACATTTATTGTACTTATGTTGTTCAGACACATCATTTCAATTTGTTTGCAAATCACATGTTTAGAAAAAAATCTAATTTCACTTTTGCAAGTATGACTATGCAACAATTTGTAGCCTATATACTGTAGTTATATTGCAACATTAACAAAGTTTGTTTTAAAAACACTTAGTATATGAAACTATAGCAATTATACAGGTATTTGTAATCATTTAGTCGTAACAGCATACTACATCATGATTTTGATTATTTTTTTGTATCTTGAAATGCTGTAATTCTCATGTCAAGTAGCCATTGGCAATGCATTTAAATGGTGCTCCAATGGGATGAAAATAGTCATTAGCTATCTGTGGTTGTATCAAAATATCTATTTTGAAATCTAATTTAGCTATAATACATGAGTACACTCAGTGAATTAAAGACATTATGTCAACTCATTATGAAACATTGTTGCACATTATCATTATTATGTTGTCTTGGAGACTAGCAATCAACATTGCGTAAGAGAAATGGGAACATCCATATGCCTCCACCAGAAGGATTTTTAAAAGTCCCATACTGTTTCTACTCTTCTCATCCCAATATCAAAAAAAAAAAGTCCCATACTGTTTCAGATGACATTGTAGTCCACTTTGGAGAGAATCAAGGAGTTAGTCCTCTGTAGCTCAGCTGGTAGAGCACGGCGCTTGTAACGTCAAGGTAGTGGGTTCGATCCCCGGGACCACCCATACACAAAAAATGTATGCACGCATGACTGTAAGTCGCTTTGGATAAAAGCGTCTGCTAAATGGCATATTATTAGATGTGTGCTGTGGGTTGTCAGGCTATGGGATGCAATGTGGGGGATTAAGCTGGACTGTCCTCAATGTTTCTTATACAAAGTTATTACCAATAAAGAGAGAAAAAGGAACAGTTTGGGGTCTGTTGAGTAGTTGTCTGAACAGGGCTAGGAATAGGTGCTCTCTGTCCATATATTCATTATGATCTAATAGGCCAAATTGATCCTAGATCAGCAAGGCTGTGGGTCACTGGAAGGTGGCCTTCACCCTCTTCAGTGTGTCCTGGAGCCTGCGGGTGTGTCGGTCAGTGGGGGTGTGGTAGAAGTTGGCCTCGTTGTCTGCAGCCAGCAGGGGGATGTCACAGACGCTGAGGTGGGCTATGCGTAGTCTTATGTAGGCCTGCAGCCCCAGGTCAGGAGTGAAGGAGTACACCGTCTCCTGGAACGCATGCACCTGACTCACCACCTTCGCTATGGCCCTGGAGAGTGAGGAAGGAGAGAGCAGGAGAGTGATAAAGATAGAGAGAGAGGGGGGAAAGAAGCAGATAGAGTGGTAAAGATGGGCGACAAGAAAGTACAGGAAATAAGGACAAATGCAGAGGTGGAAGTTGGGGCCACCATGGAGATGAAGAACAAGACAGAGAGAGTGAAAAATAGAAAAATGAGTTTGTTACTGTTCATCTTCGGCAGAAACATACTCTTGGTTTTCCACCATTTTACTGAACACTTGCACCATATACAGTACAGTAAGTGACCTGATTTCCAGAGTAGTCGGGGAACCTAGGGTCTATCATAACCAGCTGTGACGCTGCCTCTCACCGTGACCCTTATGACCCCAGCATCTGTCAACATCGATGCGTCTCGGAGCACCTGGCATGCCACATCTCCTAAAATCACACCGCATCCCCGATACACCATCTGGCTGTGTGCTAGCTTTAGTAGAGGAACCCAAATCCTACACGACTGCCACAGAATAAGCAGCTGTGTCATTATCGTCCACCGTGACATTCTGTGAACCCAAGCATCTGGCCGCCATATTTCAGTGGGTAGAAGGACACAGGGAAACTTGTTTGGTGGCAACTTGGCCCACTTCGTTACATTGCGGAAGAAAGTTAATCTCAAGTTTATGCCGTTTAACAATGAGTGTCAGGTTGATATCTCTGTCAGTGCAAAGGTGACCAGAATTAATCTCAATTGTACATACGTGCAAATGAATGCTATAGGCCAGTATTTTGAGTGTATAGGCCTAGTGTAGGCTACAAGATTTTCTAGACCCAGATTAAACCTAGTCCTGGGCGTGTATTCACAAAGCATCTCAGAGAAGAAGTGCTGATCTAGGATCAGGTTTTCCCTGTCCATATAATATTTTTTATTTTTTTAAATGTATTATACATTTAGCAGACGCTCTTATCCAGAGCGACTTACAGGAGCAATTAGGGTTAAGTGCCTTGCTTAAGGGCACATCGACATATTTTTCACCTAGTCGGCTCGGGGATTAGAACCAGCGACCTTTCGGTTACTGGCACAACGCTCTTACCCACTAAGCTACCTGCTTATTCATTATGATCTAAAAGGCTAAACTGATCCTAGACCACCACTCCAACTCTGAGACAGTTTGTGAATACAGGCCCAGGTGCCGGTTTCCCGGACCCAAAATAATCCTAGTCCTGGATTTAAACCCACTTTCAAATACTCCATTCAGATTCTCATTAAAACACCCTTTTTAGTCCAAGACCTTAATCTGTGTCCAGGAAACCGGCCCCGAGAAATTGCATTACGTTAATTCACCTGAGTTTTGGCCACTTGTAGGCGCCACTGGTCAGAGTGAAGGCTCCGATCTCCAGCTGCTGGATGTGCATGGCCAGGATGTGGGCAGCAGGGAGGGTGGGTCTCCTCCTCACATGTTCTCCTCCCATCAGACACAGGTTATCACTCTTCAGAAAGACCTGACAAAGAGGGAGGGGGAGGGGGAGGGGAGAGAGGGAAAGAGAGAGAGCGAGAGAAAGAGCATTCACAAACAGATGTCTGACTCTTCCCTTGATTTATAATATTGATTGAATGAAAAAATAAACGATAAAGTTTGGCAAAATCCCTCATCTTTGAAAAGGTTGGCATGTGTACTGTATGTTATTTGAGAATATCTTCCATCAAGTTTGGTTCTATATAGCCAGTGTTGGAAAAAGTACTAAAATATCATACTTGAGTAAAAGTAAAGATACCTTAATAGAAAATGACTCATGTAAAAGTGAAAGTCACCCAGTAAAATCCTACTTGAGTAAAAGTCTAAAGGTATTTGGTTTTAAATATACTTAAGTATCAAAAGTCAATGGAATTGCTCAAATATACTTAAGTATCAAAAGTAAAAGTATTAATGATTTCAAACCCTTATATTATGCAAATCCAAACGGCCCAATTTATTTTAATTTATTTTAATTTATAGATAGCCAGGAGCAAACTCCAACACTCAGACATTAATTTACAAACAAAGCATTTGTGTTTAGAGAGTCCGCCAGATCAGAGGCAGTAGGGATGACCAGGGATGTTCTCTTGATAAGTGCGTGAATTGGACCATTTTCCTGTCAAAATTTAAAGAGTAGTTTTGGGTGTCAGGGAAAATGTATGGAGTAAAAAGTACATTATTTTCTTTATAATAAATAATAATATTATGCCATTTAACAGACGCTTTTATCCAAAGCGACTTACAGTCATGCGTGCATACATTTTTATGTATGGGTGGTCTCGGGGATCGAACCCACTACCCTGGCGTTACAAGGGCCCTGCTCTACCATTTGAGCTACAGAGGACCACTTTAGGAATGTAGTGAAGTAAAAGTAAAAGTTGTTAAAAATAGAAATAGTAAAGTAAAGATACCCCAAAAAACTACTTAAGTAGTACTTTAAAGTATTTTTACTTAAGTACATTACACCAGTGTAATGTAATATAGCCTTCGATATAGCCTTCAGCCATTCTCAAATGTGAATACGGTGTGATGTCTGGTAGCACGATTTAAATAAATCACTAAAAAAGTCATATAACAAAATGCTGGCCAGCTGTGAGTGTGTCACAGAATTTCACACACAGGTGTGCTGCTTGAAGGTGTTTTTCTTTCGGTTTATTTGCCTGAAGCCCCACACATCTCTGGTAGAGCAGAGGACACGCGCGCACACACACACACACACACACACACACACACACACACACACGCCTCACCTGCACGGCTCGCAGATCCTCTAGGACCTGACACACCTTGGTAGACAGATGTTTCCAAGCCTATCGGCAAGAGAAGAGGTGTTTCATTTAGCAAGAACCAATAAATCTGTCTCACACTTACAGAAGCTTTAGTCCCGTAAAGTTCAACATTGACTACAACAGGTAGAGTATTATTAGAACATGGAGAAACAACAAGAATACATCAATTTCAGTTGTTACACTTACACAATTAAATTGGGCGTTTTTGTTGCACTTCATGTTTCCTGTTACTTCCTCCTACAGCTTATTTAAACACATACATTCTGATGTTCTGGTTCCCATACAGCAGATTAAAGAGACATTTCCCTTAAGGGCCTAAGAGGTACGTTACTTTTCAAACATTCCACCTGTTTGTGTAGAATGATTTCTTTCACGGGGTGATTCCGAAATGTCTCTGGCCAAAAGTACTACAGTACTACTACAGTTTTGCATTACAGTTTGTAGTGAATAGAGACCCATTTCAGATGCAGGTATGCAGACTTACGGGTAATTGCCTGACAATCACATTCTCCAGGCCTCCAAGGACCTGCATGGCTGTGGCAAAGTCTCTCGATTCATAGCAGTGTTTGGCAATTAGGAGAAACTTGGCCAGCAAAGTCGCTTGGGTCTGCAGCAAGAAAAGAAGAGGAGAGATTCGATGGTCATTCATTCACACAAATCATTATAGAAATCATAGGATACATCATATAAGTGCATCTGATGGCTCTCATGTAATTAGATTCAATGGACAATGACTGACCTTCAGAATTAAAATAAATGAATATTAGTGTGTGTGTGTTGAATGAATGATGCACATCGATATAGAGATCAAACCGTAATGTCCAACAGAGTTGTAGCCTTATTACTAGTAGATCTCACCTTTATCGAATCACAGATGACGATTTCAGCAGAGACCCAATTGGAGACGCTGTCAGCATATCTCAGTAGCTGTTGGAGGTGGCTGTCATGTGGAGTCCCTTCATTAACAAATAGACTGCTGCCCTCTGCTGGAGGTACAGAGTGTGATGCATGTCTGTGGGAGAAGACAGGCAGTCAGACTAGAGACTGGGCTGTAGATTAAAGGTTTATTTTATGTCACAGATATTGTCAGGGATCCAACAGCTGACTGGCACTAACGTCTCATTATCTAGCAAGTGATAATGGTTTCAGATTATGCATTCTGGTATACTCATTTGATACTTTAAACAAATCTGTCTAGAAAGCCACTGAAATATTTAGACCAAAGGGAATATTTACTCACTTGGTGACACTAACCACTTTGTCCCTGACTCCTTGAGCTTTAGAGTTGAGGAAATGAATTGGGTGACAGCCTTGAAACATTTCCTGAATTTGGAGAAAAAAATCAGACCAAAAGATAATTTTACACATTTATCTGCTAAATGACACAAATGTAAATGTAAATATATACTGTAGGTCTGTGAATCTGCTTTAAATTCACAAAGCAGTGATTTGTCTCCCCCTAGTGTTTATAAATGACAATGTGTTTGTGGTTTAGCGGGTGAGTGTGAATGCATGAGAGAGGCAGAAATGGCATGTCTGTGTTGATCTTGCTGCAGGATGATTTGGTGGGCATGTCAGTGCGTTAACCTGCTGCAGTAGAGTGAGTTGCTGTGCCGTGTGTTGGGCGCTGTGTTCACTCTGACTAAAGGGGTGTCTCTCCTCACTTCTGAGGCAGGCACTGGAGATGTCATCCATAAGGGAGGTGTAGTAGGGTCGGGGCAGGGCTGCTGCTATGGAGTAGGCCTTGTCTTTAGGCTCGGTCGACTGGGGCTCCACCACCCTGGATACCCTCCACTGAAAGCTCTACAGAGACACATCAACTTAGAAAGGTTCTGTCTATGAATGCATACAGTGCCTTCAGAAAGTATTCACACCCCTTGACTTTTTCCCCATTTTGTTGTGTTACAGCCTGAATTGAAAATGGATTACATTTAGATTTAGTGTCACTGGCCTACACACAATAACCCATAATGTCAAATTGGAATTATGTTTTTAGAATTTCTTTTAACAAATTAATTAAAAAAATGAAAAGCTGAAATGTCTTGAGTCAATAAGTATTCAACCCCTTTATTATGGCAAGCCTAATTACGTTCAGGAGTAAATATTTGTTTAACAAGTCACATAATAAGTTGTATGTGCAATAATAGTGTTGAACATGACTTTTGAATGACTACCTCATCTCTGTACATTTTTACATTTTTAGTCATTTAGCAGATGCTCTTATCCAGAGCAACTTACAGTTAGTGAGTGCATACATTTTCATACTGGCCCCCCGTGGGAAACGAACCCACAACCCTGGCCGTTGCAAGCGCCATGCTCTACCAACTGAGCTACAGGGGACATACACATATAATTATCTGTAAGGTCCCTCAGTCGAGCAGTGAATTTCAAACACAGCTTCAACCACAAAGACCAGGGACGTTTTCCAACACCTCGCAAAGAAGGGCACCAATTGGGTAAAAAAATACAAAGCGACATTGAATAGCCCTTTGAGCATGGAGAAGTTATTAATTACACTTTGGATGGTGTATCAATACACCCAGTCACTACAAAGACACAGGCATCCTTCCTAACTCAGTTGCCGGAGAGAAAGGAAACCGCTCAGGGATTTTAACAGTAGGCAAATGGTGACTTTAAAAAAGTTACAGAGATTAATGGCTGTGATAGGAGAAAACTCCACAATACTAACCTAAATGACAGAGTGAAAAGAAGGAAACCTGTACAAAATAAAAATATTCCAAAACATGTATTTTGCAATAAGGCACTAAAGTAAAACTGCAAAAAAATGTGACACTGAAATGAACTTTATATCCTGAATACAAAGTGTTATGTTTGGGGCAAATCCAACACATCACACATCACTGAGTACCACTCTTCATATTTTCAAGCATGGTGGTGGCTGCATCATTTTACGGGTACGCTTGTCATCGGCAAGGACTAGGGAGTTTTTGGGGGGGATAAAATGAAACAGAATAGAGCTAAGCACAGGCAAAATCCTAGAGGAAAACCTGGTTCAGTCTGCTTTCCAACAGACACTGGGAAACAAATTCACCTTTCAGCAGGACTATAATCTAAAACACAAGGCCAAATATACACTGGAGTTGCTTACCAAGATGACACTGAATGTTCCTGATTGGCCTAGTTACAGTTTTGACTTATATCGGCTTGAAAATCTAGGGCAAGACTTGAAAATGGCTGTCTAGCAATGATCAACAACCAACTACACAGAGCTTGAAGAATTTTAAAAAGAACAATGTGCAAATATTGTACAATCTAGGTGTGCAAAGCTCTAAGAGACTTACCCAGAAAGACTCACAGCTGTAATCGCTGCCAAAGGTGATTCTAACATGTATTGACTCAGGGGTGTGAATACTTATGTAAATGAGATATTTCTGTATTTCATTTTCAATACATTTGCAAAAATCTCTAAAAACATGTTTTCACATGGTCATTATGGGGTATTTTGTCTAGATGGGTGAGAGAAAAAAAATATTTAATCCATTTTGAATTCAGGCTGTAACACAACAAAATGTGGAATAAGTTAAGGGGTATGAATACTTTCTGAAGGCACTGTATATACCATGGCCATATTCATTAGGGCACAAACTGTGGTTCTTATTGGACAAGTCCAGGTAGTCCCTCCTTGATTCAGTCAGTTTTTTTTCAGTTTGGTGCTAATGTAACATATTAATTCACGTAATGAATACAACGCAGCTCTGATGGTCCCTATCAGTTTAAATACATATCAGTGTAAATTGATTCTTTTTGAGCCAGACAAACTTTCCCGTACTTTGGACCAATCAGATGCTTTTTGGTTTCTGGCAAGAAAAACAACATAATAGTACACTCATAATAATCCTTATATGGACCTTCCTTCCAGAGTATTCAATAGATGATTTTCTGCATAAGGTATGGACAGACAGTGCATCATCATCCTGCTGCATGCTGATTGGGCTCCCACAGCCTTGGCTCCACCTCTTCCTGGGAGAGCTCTGAAGAGTAGTCAAAAGCCTCTCTCCTCTACTGTCTACTGGAGACACCTAAATAAGAACCAGATCATTACAAAAACCTTCCTTAAGAGTATTGTATGTCTAAACACTGAAAAATAGACAACAGCAACAACACTGCTACAGATTTAGCTAATTAGTTGACATTTACATTTTAGTCATTTAGCAGATGCTCTTATCCAGAGCAACTAGGGTTAAGTGCCTTGCTCAATGGCACAGACATATCTTTCACCTAGTTGGCTCGGGGATGCGAACCAGCAACCTTTCGGTTTCTGGCTCAACGCTCTTAACCGCTAAGCTACCTACCGTCCTAGTTGAGACAATAATCTGATGATTAATTTACTTGCTTGAGTGATTGATTTTTCAACTAGTCGACTCGGGAATTTGATCCAGCGACCTTTCGGTTACTGGCCCAAAGCTCTTAACTGCTAGTCTTCCTGACGTCTCAGTTGAGACATTAATCCGATGATTAATTTCTTGAGTGATTGGTTTTATCATTTGATTGCTTTTTTGTGATTCATTGATGATTGATCAGCTCTTTAATTACTTCAGTGGTAAGGAAGTTTTCCAGTGTCATCAGCAGGCTGGACTTGGGGCTGAAGTCCACCAGTCTGTAGTCAGTCAGCCAGGTTTGCAGCACGTCCAGACTCCGGTGGTACACCTTAGCACGGTCCCCTGACACATCTGGACCACCTCTGGTAGAAAAAGGAATGTGAAGATCACACAGATAACCACATAAATAGAATATCTAGACCGGACATTGTAGTTACACAGATTTTCTTCAATGTTTTTAAGGTGAAAATGAGCTATATTCAAGCCTAATGTATTTTAAGCTTTGGAATACTTTTACTCTCTCGGACATAGTGTTTATTTTATTTTATTTCAATTAAAAAAGCAGTCAGTATTACAAAAGAGTAAAATTAATTCTGGTCAGCTACTTTTCAGAATTCCCTTGAAAGTAGAGTTTTGATTTTCTGCCCGGGTCGGGCCTGATATTCTGAGAATTGATTCGGGCCTGGGCTTGGATTTGTTGTGACAAGATTGCATGTTTTGAGACCAACTCTACTGTAGTGAAAAATAAACGCGTCTGTAGCCTCTCTCTCTCCCTCTGTGTGCTAGACATGAGCCTGCAACTCCATCTATCTATCTATCTATCTATCTATCTATCTATCTATCTATCTATCTATCTATCTATCTATCTATCTATCTATCTATCTATCAATCTCAGCCCAGAATCCAACTTCCTCTAGAGCACGTGTGAAACTCATTCCACGGAGGGACGATTGTCTGCGGGTTTTTGCTCTTCCCTTGTATTTGATTGTTTAATTGAGGTGACTAATTAGTAAAGATCTCCCCTCACCTGGTTGTCTAGATCTTAATTGAAAGGAAAAAACAAAAACCAGCAGACACTAGGCCCTCCATGGAATGACACCCCCGCTCTAGAGCAACATTTCTCAATCCATTCCAAGGGGTACACATTTTTGTTCTTATCTACTCCAGACCAGACACCCATCCAGCTGGCGTTGCTGTTGCTCATTCTGGGCTTTACAACCGATGAAAACATAAAAGAAGAGGACAACACGGAACTAGAATTGGAGGCAGGTTTGTCTTTATTTTCAACATTCCTTGTGTGAACTAAAGATCCATTGAACTGAGTACCCAACTCAATGGTCCACTCAAAATGGCTAAACTCCAGTCTCTGAGTGTGTTTTTGAATGAGTGTTTATTAACGGCAGTTGCCGTACAGATTTTGGAGGTAGTAGAGAAAGTGGTAGCGGAGTACCAGCAGTAGATCTAAAGAGGAGAATGACCAGTTACGGAGACTGCTGCAGATCACACCGGAGATAAAACTATGTAGAATAGACTCCCTCCGGTTCTCTCTTGCTGTCTCTGAGGAGGAGGTTACGAGCAGCAGCACTGTGAGCAGGAATGGAGACCCAGTCTGGTGCAGGAGGACCAAGAGCCCACACAGATTAAGGAGAAACTCAGGACCAGTCAGCAGGAAGAGCAGCTTCAAGGGATTTTTTACACCAAAGACTCGATTTCACTCCTCCCTGTGTGAAAAGGGAATGTGATCAGGATGACAGAGAGTGACTCTAAGCCATTGGATCTCAAACCTTTTTCGCACTGTGACACACCTACTGGGTCTCGACATTCCCGGTGACCCTTCAGATAATCAAAAACAATGCCTCCAGTCACAGCTCAGCCGTAAGTAGCGACCGAGTAGGACTTGACATCAGCCTACCATTGGATCCCAACCTACCATTGGATCCCAACCCACCATTGGATCCCAACCTACCATTGGATCCCAAAACACCATTGAGAAAACCCAGCACTAAACCCCGCACCACGTCTAAAAAACCTCAAAGCTGACTTGACTGTGGCAAATGCTTCCTTGGGATTGGTAGGCTGCAGACACACTCGAGGATTCACTCAGAGAAAAAAGTACACGGAAAACCTAACAAAACATATAATGACTCACAGGGGAGAAAACATTTCGCTGTGGTGACTGTTGGAAAAGCTTCAATCGCAAGAGGACCCAAACTTGCACATAAGGACTCACAAAGAAGAAAAACCATTTAGCTGTGGTGAATGTGGGAAAAGCTTAACTCGCAAGGGGACCCTGAACAGGCATATACTGTTTGCCCACAAAGAAAGAAAACAGGACAAAAAACATAAAGAAGAAATCAAATGAAGGCAGAGAGATCTTCTCTCAGGAGACGGGAACAAAAAGGCAGGATATGTACAACACCGTTAGGAAAGCAAAGCGAGAACTCTGTATAATTCTTTCTGGTGGGTTTCAGGTAAATTGATGTGTTATGAATTTACTTTTGTAAAACGTCCTATACAAATACAATTTTATTTGAATGATGATGTAATGATCAAACAGAGTATAGCAGGAAACCATGGACAACTGGTGCTATAGTCCAAGGAAATGCTGGATCCAGCTGAATGGTAAATTTAATTGCATGGCCCTATTCAATCAAACTTTGATAATATCAGTCTATTATTGCAACAAAGGACTTCCATTTTGGATTCATACACTCAAGAAAGTAACAAATTCATAAAATGTCAAACATGGTGGAATAATTTTGGACTTTTCCCAGTCGCAGGTTACTGGTTTTGAATTATGTTATCAATGTTAAACCATTTTGTTAAATTATCTTGAAGTAAAATTAATATGAAAAGTATGATAGACTCTAGTTCATTTTCAAAGGCAGCTTCCATGCCAATATAATTTTAGTTGTGCAAAAATGTGATCCTTGTTTAAACAGGCCCATGTTTACAGTTTTCTTACTTGACCTCATGCTAATGTTATGGAAGCAGAGGTGGCACCACAGGTTCAAAAGCGTATTGGTGCTTGAATGAACGGCCAATCATATTGCTCAAATACAAATAGCACAACTTTTCTGCGTGTAGTCTTCAATAGTTTTCGGACTGCGACAGAGCAGGTACATTTTGAACTAGGATGCAGAAATGTGCTGAGAAGTTACTGGCCTGGTCGGTGCTGCTGCTTTGAAGGTGGTGTGGTGGCGCCACACCAGATTGAAAAGTACTGGGGCAAATGCTGTCTCGCCACGTTTTCCCGGCGGCTCTTTATGGAAGACAGTTATAGTAGTACTGCCAATTTGGCTTCTTTTTTATTCTACAAGTGGCCATACATTTTCTTATTATTTTCTTCAAATGCCAATTATATTGTCTCAATTAGTATTTGACCATAGAAATATAATTACTAGACCAGACATTCTAATTCCACAGAATCAAATAACCACATAAATAGAACGACTAGAAAGGACATTCTAATTATATTTCTATACAAGCAACACAGGGTGTCAGGCCACCATCCAAAGAGCATGAAAATCCATTTTGTTTTATGTCTGTCTGTTTCTATTTCTGCCACAGTAGCATACATACCCTGCTGCTGCTGCATTGGTGAATTTGTCCATCAGGAACTGAAGGAGTTCTTGAGGGGTGCAGAAATAGCGGTACGTGTACAGGAACTGTTGGATGTAACCCTCCAATGGAGCATTTCTGTCAGAGGAGGAGATAGAAAAGAGTTTAGTTTGGTATTTGTTGAATGCAATATCTAAGTGATCTCACTACACAACATGTCTATAAGAATTAGGACAAATCACAGTGAAACACGTTTGGACACAGATATAATTAAACAGAAATGTCTTATTGTGCCCTATGTAGGTTTAAATTAATGTTACATTTTCTCAGCAATCAAAAGCATGATGATGGACAGTAAACTTTGGTGCTCAGTTTAACACATTGACCAGTAGAGGGCCACCATTTAAACCAGGGCTGCCCAATTCCGGTAGCCACACAAAGCCACCTGATCCCACAAGCTTACATAAAACGATATCCGTGCAGCGTTTTATGTAAGCTTGCAGGATCAGGCGGCTTTGCGAGGCTACAATTCCGGTCCTGGAGGGCCAAAACACTTCTGGTTTTCATCCTCTCCTATTAGTCAGGGACTGATTCAGACTTGGGACACCAGGTGAGTGCAATTAACTACCAGGTAGAAACAAAAAACAGAAGTGTTTCGGCCCTCAAGGATGGGAATAGGACAGCCCTGATTTAAACCATACTTGCTAATACACTGTTAATCACACTCATGGGTTTAATAGTTCATGTATTACTGTAACCTAAACCTTTTACTGTAACCTTGATATATAGTTAATTAGTGTTACCTGGCATAGAGGTAGGACATGAGACCCAGGGGTGTGGCGGCCTGCAGGCTGCTCTTCCCTCTCCCTGCCCCAGACAAAGACACCAATCCCAGCACGGCAGGCTCCTCTGAGGGCTGGAGATCCAGAGGGCTCCCTGGACCAGAGGCTGCCAGGGAGGGAAGGAGGGACACATCCACACCCCACTGATCCACACTCAGAACCTGACCAAAACAACCAGGCAGAGATATGAGCCAACAACCAAATACTGTATATGAACCAGCAACCCATCAGAAACCAGTAACCAATCAGTGATATGAGCCAACAACCAATCAAAACCAACAAACAATTAGAGATATGGGAGATGTGCAGTGCATTTGGAAAGTATTCAGACCCCATTTTGTTACATTACAGCCTTATTCTAAAATTGATTAAATTGTTTTTTTCCTCATCAATCTGCACACAATACCCCATAACGACAAAGCAAAAGCAGGTTTTTAGAAGTTTCTGCATATTTATTACAATTAAAAACTAAAATATCACATTTACATAAGTATTCAGACCCTTTATTCAGTACTTTGTTGAAGCACCTTTGGCAGTGATTTCAGCCTCAAGTCTTCTTGGGTATGCCACTACAAGCTTGGCACACCTGTATTTTGGGAGTTTCTCCCATTCTTCTCAGCAGATCATCTCAAGATCTGTCAGGTTGGATGGGGAGCATCACTGCACAGCTATTGTCAGGTCTCTCCAGAAATGTTAGATCGGGTTCAAGTCCAGGCTCTGGCTGGGCCACTCAATGATATTCAGAGACTTGTCCCGAAGCCACTCCTGCGTTGTCTTGGCTGTGCGCTTAGGGTCGTTGTCCTGTGGGAAGGTGAACCTTCGCCCCAGTCTGAGGTCATGAGCACTCTGGAGCAGGTTTTTATTAAGGATCTCTCGGTACTTTGCTCCGTTCATCTTTCTCTCGACCCTGACTAGTCTCCCAGTCCCTGCCGCTGAAAAACATCCCCACAGCATGATGCTGCCACCACCATGCTTCACCGTAGGGATGGTGCCAGGTTTCCTCCAGACGTGAACCTTGCCATTCATGCCAAAGAGTTCAATCTTGGTTTCATCAGACCAGAGAACCTTGTTTATCATGGTCTGAGAGTCCTTTAGGTTCCTTTTGGCATAAGCGGGCTGTCATTTGCCTTTTACTAAGGAGTGGCTTCCGTCTGGCCACTCTACCATAAAGGCCTGATTGGTGGACTGCTGCAGAGATGGTTGTCCTTCTGGAAGGTTCTCCCATCTCCACAGGGTTAGGGTTAGGGTTACCATCGGGTTCTTGGTCACATCCCTGACCAAGGCCCTTCTCCCCCGATTGCTCAGTTTGGCCGCGTGGCCAGCTCAGCTCAAATTTGTTGGTACCCTTCCCAGATCTGTGTCTCGACACAATCCTGTCTCTGAGCTCTACTGACAATTCCTTTGACCTCATGGCTTGATTTTTGCTCTGACATGCACTGTCAACTGTGGGACCTTATATAGACAGGTGTGTGCCTTTCCAAATCATGTTTTTTATTTTTAATACATTTGCAAACATTTCTAAAAACCTATTTTCGCTTTGTCATTATATGGTATTGTGTGTAGATTGATGAGGATTTTTATTTATTAATTCCATTTTAGAATAAGGCTGTAACGTAACAAAATGTGGAAAAAGTCAAGGGATCTGTGTGCCTGCTTTGTGTTAGTATTAGGGGATTTGGGGATTATTTCTATTCAACCTGTCCGCACCTCAAGATATTTCTTCATAGAGTCTAGAAACTCCACTTTGGACCTCAACTCCTCAAGCTGGACTTTGAGTTTGGACAGCATCAATCTAGCATCTGAACCTTCAGCAGAAAAACACATTGAAATTGTGTTATTTCTCAATTTATCAACCCCATAGTAGAAATTGGAATTGTAAAAGTCATAAGGGATTGATTGGTACCTTTACTTTTTCTCTCTTGATGGAGCAGCTTTTGGTAGAAATTTCTGGTCTTTTTCAGATCCTTTGTCTCAATCATAAGCTGCTGTTGAAGCTCCTACAAGTAGAACATTTAATGCATAATACATAAAGTAGACACCAAGCCATTCAGATCGCAAACTTTAGAACCGTCAAGGGTTCTTTGGCTGTCCCTGTAGGAAACCCCTTTTTGTTCCCAGGTAGAACCTTTTTGCCAAAGGTTTGGTTTTTCGTTAGGTGAAAATGTTGTCATAGTAGGGACAGCCGAGGAACCCATTATTAACCCTTTTTCCCAAGGGTTTATATACAGTACATGAAGACCATTTTAAGCCCCGTTTCCACTGGCACTTAAAATTAGGGCCAAATTAGGGCTGGTTCGAATGGAATTCTCAAATTCGAGCTGGGTCGAGGGAAACCCAGACCAGCGCAGCCCAGTTTCACAACTGGTGCCAGCTCGATTAGAATTCGGGTCTGGTGATGCCGTTACTATCCAACCACCAGCTGATCACTGCTGGATGCTGACACCACGTTTAGCTAGCTCGTCTGGGCTTGTTGCTGTTAGCTAGCACATGGACAATCAGCACTGCAGTAGTCAGACATGACACGAATTACAACCATAGCTGGATCCTTCATTAATTTTTGCACTACAGAAACTTTTATGAGAACAGTCAGCCCTCGAATGTTAGCTACCTAACGTTAGCTAGCAAATCAGAGTTGAAACTAGCTAGCTAGCTAATGTGAGCTAGCAGGAGTTTTAGCAGGTCAGGTCATATTGAAAGCTAGCTAGATAGCTACATCATATCAAACCCTGTCATCTGGTTTGCTTGGTTAGCTAGCTAATAGCCAAAGCCATGGCAAGCAAGGTAAGAATTACGCTAGCTAGCTAGCCTGTTATGCTAGTGACAACGCTAACTGTTTCGCTAGCTAGCTAATGTTAGCAAGCTAAATACATGTCTCTGAGTCTGTCTGCCACTGGCATGAGTATGGGAAAACGTTAGTTACAGCAAGGTTAGGGGAATTACATTCTTTAACATATTGCTAGCTAGGTAGCTAGCAACATTTGCGAAGCCAGCTGCATGGTCACATATTGTCTACCTAGCAACATGACATAATTTCTCATTTCTGGAGGCAGTGGTGGAAACATAATTTGAGCTAGTCCACCAAGGCCAGCCCAACCCGGGTTGACTTCAAAGTGCCAATGGAAACGGGCCTTTAGAGTCTACAATATATGTACAGGGCTGGCTCTCCCCTTGTATCCCTCACTATGGTAACAGAAATCAATAGGACATTTGAAGTGAGAGATGGTGCACATCTAACACCGACACGGTGACTGAGTTAATCAGGGCATAATCAAATCATGATTATGCCCTGATTTGCTACAGCTATTAAATGTTGTTTTGCTTGATTTTAACTAATAATCTCATAGCTTTTTCATGAAATGCATGCACTTATCCAAACATATTATGGAGTTTGACTGAAAGTGTAATTTATAATAAATTATGTCTATAATACTATTTTGTGCATGCTCAAAATGCAAGGCAGTGGTACATTCTCTACTATAGGTCATCATTCAATCCAATGAGATGGGATCATTCAATGGATGAGACTAATAGAAATTGCATGCTTTATATCAAAAATGCCACTCCTATGTAATTGACATTACTGTAATGTCATTATGAAACGAGTACAGCTTCATCATTGGCTGCAATGCAACATACACTACCTGGATAAAATCTTGTTTAAAGAGAGAGGAGTCCTTTTAATATAGTGAGCATTAAGTGAACAGTAGAATTAGAACTGCCTTAGGCAATGACACTACTTGCCTTAAACATTAAACATGATTTCGCTTTATTTTAGTCTGCTTGTTCTCTGGCATTTATATGGACTTACAAGTGTGACGACCCTCCCACTCTGTCTGCCGTATTCTCTCTCTTTGCTCTTTTTGTTACGAACTTGAGCCGGTTCGTGACAAAAGATAATTACATAATTATGATATAATAACTACTTCTTGTTTATTTCAGATGAATGTACCTTTTTCATTATGTACCATTTGGTAGAAAGTAGTAACTAATCATGTTGAATCTTTGAAGTATCAGACAGTATACATCGTTACCACATAATGTCTTCTAAAATGAGCTAAAATGAGAGTCAAATATTTACACATATCCAAAAAAGCACTATTCCAAACATTGAGACCATGGTATCTGTACGGTCTGTCATGACTCACAGCTAGTCTATTATATTTAAGCCCAATAGCTTTTCCACCCAGGTTACCCACCTGTGTTTTCAGCTCCAGGCACGGTGACTCACTGTGCTGTCCCAAGTTCCTACCATATTCCACCACATCCTGACTAAAACAGTCCTCTCCATAGAAGGCCAGGGCCCAGGCTGGGCTGAGGCTGTGGCTGGACTCCTCTGCTCCGGAGCTGGGGGAGAGGAGACGATCAGACGCCAGAGAATCTGTGTCCTCCATGTCCTCGCAGCAGTCAGGGCTCATCTGGCCTCGGTGGCCCACCCTCAGTGGCTCGTCCATCCCCCATAGAGAGTCATCTTCAGAGGGCCTTTCATCGCAGCCCCCCACTGGATGCTCGGGACTCTCCATAGCCCCCTTAACCAAACACTCAGCAGCTCTCAATCCTGGACCAGGAAAATGGCAGAGCAGGAAGAGACAGAGAAAATGGATGGGTCAGGCAGTCTGTATGTGTGTTTGTGTGTGTGTTCATGCATGTATCTGTGTGTGCAGAGCTTTTGAGGGGTGGAATTCTCTCAAGGCTGAAGGTTTCTTTTGGTGAAAGGCTCTTTTAAATGTGTTTGTTGGCATGCTGTTAAACGCCAACTGTAAGGTTCTGTATTTATTTTCTTAGTTCACCTTGTGTTCTTGAACGTAGCCCTGTTTCTTTGTGTTCTTGAATATAGTCCTGTATTTCATTTTCGTTCATTGATTTCACCTGTGTTAGTTACTCACCTGGTCTCATCAGCTCCTTATTTAGTTCTGTTCTTTCTGTTTGTGCCTTGTGAGGTATTGTTCGTTTTGACTCTACTAAGCCTTTTCCTAGCTCGTTTGTGAGAACCAGTTTTAGCCTTCAGTCCAAGTTTTGTTTCACCTGCCTGTTTTCCTACCAGTGTATGACCATTGCCTGCCTGTGACCACAATTCCTGCCTTCCGCAAAGGCGTAATAAACACCTGCCACGCTCTGCGCATGAATCTACACCTTTTTCTCCCTGAGTATTCATTACATTAACCTTGTTATATTGTTAGATTCTGCATCACAGGCGTCCTCCACCTACCAGTGTGAGCAACCTATCTTTGCTCTGATTTATCATCTCACACAAAGTATTTTGTGTGAAACTGTAGGTGTGTTTGTGTGCAAGAGTGCAGTGTTTGTTACCAATGGGTATTTAGGTGTCTGTGTGGGCGTGTATTATGCTAAGTGTATGTACAGTGCCTTGCAAAAGTATTCATCCCCCTTGGCGTTTTTCCTATTTTGTTGCATTACAACCTGTAATTTAATTAAAAGTTGTGCGTGCATATGTATTCACCCCCTTTGCTACGAAGCCCCTAAATAAGATCTGGTGCAACCAAATACCTTCAGAAGTCTCATAATTAGTTAGATTGCACACAAGTGGACTTTATTTAAGTGTCACATGATCTCAGTATACACACCTGTTCTGAAAGGCCCCAGAGTCTGCAACACCACTAAGCAAGGGGCACCACTAAGCAAGGGGCACCATGAAGACCAAGGAGCTCTCCAAACAGGTCAGGGACAAAGTTGTGGAGAAGTACAGATCAGGGTTGGGTTATAAAAAAATATCAGAAACGTTGAACATCCCACGGAGCACCATTAAATCACTTATTAAAAAATAGAACGAATATGGCACCACAACAAACCTGCCAAGAGAGGGCCGCCCACCAAAACCCACGGACCAGGCAAGGAGGGCATTAATCAGAGAGGCAACAAAGAGACCAAAGATAACCCTGAAGGAGCTGCAAAGCTTCACAGCGGAGATTGGAGTATCTGTCCATAGGACCACTTTAAGCCGTACACTCCACAGAGCTGGGCTTTACACGAGAGTAGCCAGAAAAACAGCCATTGCTTAAAGAAAAAAATAAGCAAACACATTTGGTGTTCGCCAAAAGGCATGTGGGAGACTCCCCAAACATATGGAAGAAGGTCCTCTGGTCAGATGAGACTAAAATTGAGCTTTTTGGCCATCAAGGAAAACGCTATGTCTGGCGCAAATCCAACACCTCTCATCACCCCGAGAACAACATCCCCACAGTGAAGTATGGTGGTGGCAGCATCAAGCTGTGGGGATGTTTTTCATCGGCAGGGACTGGGAAACTGGTCAGAATTGAAGCAATGATGGATGGCGCTAAATACAGGGAAATTCTTGAGGGAAACCTGTTTCAGTCTTCCAGAGATTTGAGACTGGGACGGAGGTTCACCTTCCAGCAGGACAATGACCCTAAGCATACTGCTAAAGCAACACTCAAGTGGTTTAAGGGGAAACATTTAAATGTCTTGGAATGGCCTAGTCAAAGCCCAGACCTCAATCCAATTGAGAATCTGTGGTATGACTTAAAGATTGCTCTACACCAGCGGAAACCATCCAACTTGAGGGGGGGGGGGTGAATAGTTATGCACGCTCAAGTTTTCTGTTTTATTTGTTGTTTGTTTCACAATAAAAAATATGTTGCATCTTTAAAGTGGTAGGCATGTTGTGTAAATCAAATGATACAAACCCCCAAAAAATCCATTTTAATTCCAGGTTGTAAGGCAACAAAATAGGAAAAATGCCAAGGGGGGTGAATACTTTCGCAAGCCACTGTATTGGCGTCTGTAGATGGAAAGGAAGTAACTATGCCTGTGTCTGTTTCCACAACAATCCTCTCCAGCTGAGGAGATCATTGTAACATCACAGCGTGATTTGGGCCATCTTGAATAAGCTGTGCTCTTAACAACTTAATCCAACCGCCAATCATTCCCCTAACAACTTGATCCAACTGCCATTCAAAGCTGGATTTGTCACAACATCCCCGCTTCAGTATACAACTTCATCTAACTACGTCGTCTCACAGACATTTATCATGATAATGGTAACAGTGATGACAGTTGTGAAGTAATGGTAACAGTAATGACAGCTGTGAAGTAATGGTAACAAGGATGACATTTGTGAAGTAATGGTAACAGTGATAACAGTTGTGAAGTAATGGTAACTGTAATGACAGTTGTGAAGTAATGGTCCTTCATTCTATAGCTAGAGGACTCCTAATATCTCCAGGAGGGATAAGTATAATTTTTGTCTTTATCTGATGTTGTCTAGTACTGTCTTTTTGCTATCTAGGGCCATCTCCTTTAAGTGCTGCCTGTTGTTCTAGTAGCCTACTTGGTGTGTGAGAGCATCTGGTTGACGCATTAGTGGCACAGGGCTACTCATTTCTCCTAAGTGGAGATGTTTTATTTTCTCCTCTCTCACCTGTCCATCTCCTCATTTGAATTCCATGTTATCACGGTCACTTGTCCACTCAAGCTTAACATTGTTGTCATCTATCGCCCACCAGGTGCCCTTAGAGAGTTCCTCAATGAGCTTGACACCTTGATGGCTTACCGCTCTTCATACTTGGCGACTTCAACTTCCCGACGTCTGCCTTCAATTAATTTCTTTCCAACTCTCTCTTTCCCCTCCTTTCCTCTTTTGACCTCACCCATTCCCAGTCCCCTCCCACTCACAAGGCAGGCAATACGCTTGACCTCATCTTTACTAGAGGCTGTTCCCCTACTAATCTCACTGGAACCCCTTCCATGTCTCTGATCACTACTTTGTTTCCTTTTCTGTCTCCCTTTCCTCCAACCCTAACCACTCAGCCCCTACCCAGATGGTCATGCGCCATCTAAATCTTCACACTCTCGCTCCCATTACTCCCTCCTCTTCTATCCTATCATCTGTCCCTTCTGCTAAATCCTTCTCCCTCCTGTCTCCTAAATCTGCCTCTTCAACCCTACTCTCCTTCCTTTCCGCATCCTATGACTCGCACGGTCACCTTTCCTCCCGGCCGACTCGGCCCTCCCCTCCTGCTCCGTGGCTGAGTGACTCATCGCGAGCTTACAGAACAGGGCTGGGGGCAGCTGAGTGAAAATGGAGGAAAAATAAACTTCCGGAGGACCTATCATCCTTCCACTCCCTCCTCTCTACCTTCTCTTCCTCTGTATCTGCTGCTAAAGCCACTTTCTATCACTGTACATTTCAAGCTTCTGCCTTTAACCCTAGGATACTTTTTCCACCTTCTCATCCCTCCTTAATCCTCCACCCCTCCCCCTCCCTCCTCCCTCTCTGCGGACGACTTTGTCAACTGACTTTGAAAAGAAGGTTGATGACATCCGCTCCTCATTCACTCAGCCTATTGAGTCCACTGGTCCCACTCACACAGAACCCTAGGCCTTGACCTTTTGCCCTTCTCTCTCCAGATCCAGATGAAATCGTGCGACTAGTGAGGTCCGGCCGTCCGACAACCTGCTCACTTGACCCCATCCCCTCCTCCCTAACCAGACAGGCTTCAAGTCGGGTCACACAACCGAGACTGCTATTTTCTGTGTGACGGAGGCTCTCCACAATGCCAAAGCTACATCTCTATCCTCTGTTCTCATCCTCCTAGATCTATCCATTGCTTTCAACACTGTGAACCATCAGATCCTTCTTTCCTCCCTCTCAGGGCTGGGCGTCTCAGGCTCTACACACTCTTGGATTGCATCCTACCTGGCAGGCCGCTCTTACCAGGTGAGGTGGAGAGGATCTGTGTTTGCACCATGTACTCTCACGACTGGTGTCCAACCAGGGCTCAGTTCTAGGCCCTCTCCTCTTATCTCTATATACCAAGATACTCGGCTCTGTCATATCCTCACATGGTCTCTCCTATCATTGCTATGCGGATGACACTCAATTACATTTCTCCTTCCCCACTTCTGACACCCAGGTGGTGACACGCATCTCTGCATGCCTGGCAGATATCTCAACTTGTATGTAGGCCCACCACCTCAAGCTCAACCTTGACAAGACAGACCTGCTCTTCCTCCTGAGGAAGGCCTGCCCGCTCAAAGACCTCTCCATCACGGTTGACAACTCCACAGTGTCCCCCTCCCAGAGTGCAAAGAACTTTGGCGTGACCCTGGACAACACCCTGTCGTTATCTGCAAACATAAAAGCAGTGACTCTCTCCAGCAGGTTCATGCTCTACAACATCCGTAGAGTACAACTCTACCTCACACAGGAAGTGCCGCAGGTCCTAATCGAGGCACTTGTCATCTCACGTCTGGACTACTGGGCTCCCAGCTTGTGCCATCAAACCCCTGCAACTTATCCAGAATGCTGCAGCCCGCCTGGTGTTCAACCTTCCCAAGTTCTCCCATGTCACCCCACTCCTCCGCACACTCCACTGGCTTCCAGTCGAAGCTCGCATCCACTACAAGACCATGGTACTTGCCAACGGAGCAGCAAGAGGAACTGCCCCTCCCTACCTTCAGGCTATGCTCAAACCCTACACCCCAACCCGAGCACTCCGTTCTGCCACCTCTGGTCTCTTGGCCCCCCACCCCTATGGGAGGGCAGCTCCCGCTCAGCCCAGTCCAAGCTCTTCTCTGTCCTGGCACCCCAATGGTGGAACCAGCTTCCCCCTGAAGCTAGGACAGCAGAGTCTCTGCCCATCTTCCGAAAACATCTGAAACCCTACCTCTTCAAAGTGTATCTTAAATAATCCCACAGCACCTCATCCTCACACCCCCTTGTTGTGAAGTAATGGTAACAGAGACGAGTTGTGAAGTAATGATAACAGTGATAACAGTTGTGAAGTAATGGTAACAGTGATGAAAGTTGTGAAGTTATTTCCTTTCCTACCTGGGCAGCCATGATGTTGACCCTCCTCTGATTTGGTATCTCTATGTTCAGGTCTAGTCTCTGTTTCTCTGTGTGCAGACAGGGCCCTCTGGTCTCTCTCAAATCTCTCCCACGCGTCTGAAGCTACAGGTCCACTGTGGTGCAGGTTGCCGTTCAGGATGACATGACCACACTGCAGTGCCTCCCTCTCCTCCGCTCTACAGGTGGCAGAACTCAGGGGTGAGGTGGCTGACCTTTGCCATGGCTTTGATGGAGACTGTTCATTAGAGCCTCTGCATGTGGCACATCAGCAGCCAGAGGAGAGAGAGGAGAGTAATCACAACACACCAGTCAGTCATAGCTAGTCACAACAATCTCAGCCACACACAGACGACTAGACAAACACATAACAAACACAGACAAAAAACAGGCAAAACACACTAATTCAATCAAGCGGAACGCAGACTATAAGAGCTCAGACTGAAAAGTCATTAAAACATCACAGACAGTAATTAGACACAACATAAACAATGCAGACAAAATAGTGGGAATAACAACTCAGTCAATACGAAAACACAGCAGATACTGAAAGTTCAGACAAATAATCATATTCTGAGAAATCTAGACAGACAATTGAGACAAGCCCAGTCCTCACAGGCACAATTAAAATAGTTAAGTAGGCCAACACAAATGAATTAATCAAAACAAACCAATCAATAATTAGCCATCAAAACAAATCAATCCTTAGCAGCTCCTTAGCAGCTTCCTGACTGCTGAGGTTGAGTTGTCCAAAACTGTCTGTATCCAAAGCGGTTTCTGTCTGTATCCAAAGCCAAGTGTTCCAGCACCAGGACTTCTCCAATGAGCTACCTAGAGTGAACAGGCTACTCAAACTGACAGCTAAATCTCCCACTCAAGATGTTTGCGTCGACCAAGCTGGATTCAGTCTGTCTCATCTCCTCAGAAGATACAAAATTATCTCAACACACTGCCCCAGCCGTTAACAGCACCGCAACCATGAGATGAAACATTCTCAGTAACTGACAAGCTGACTCTCCTCACACACTCATGCCCCTATCTTCTTGTCTGCAGGAAAAAAAGGCAGTCTATTCACTTCTTCATGTAACCCTCCAAGGACCTTATATTTCTCAGGCAGACGAATCAATAAACTTAGATGGTGCAAGCAATCCGAGACACAAAACTGAATGAGCGTTACCATAGGGACCTTTCTTGCTGGAGAAAGCCGGAGGGAGTGGAAGTGTGTGTCTGAAGTGCATCTTCTGTGAATGCTGATTATGAGTGGAGTGTGCGTGCATGTATGTGTGTGTGTGTGTGTGTGTGTGTGTGTGTGTGTAAGGGGGGAGGGGTTGTAGCATCTAAAGTGCCTAATGTTGTTGAGGACACACATGAGAGAAATTAACATTCTAATCACAAACACTGCCAATTTTGGGCTTCTCCCCTGCTCAGAGAGTAAAACTAAGCTTGTTGACTGGATAAGCTTGTTGATAGAGAATACTTTTAAGGAGAACAAAATCCTTCTTATAGTATTGACAGCCCCTCCAGCTAAAGACAGTTTTATGACACAGGCATTATCTTTTGTTTAACCAAGGGTGTAACTTAAAGAGCGACTGAATCAAAAAAGCAACTGCTCCTTTTGAAAAGGGCCTATGTGGCATCGTTATGAGTCCAAAACTTTTATTTTAGTGTCAAAATTGACTACAAAGTGTAAATAGGATAATTTTGGTTATAAAGTCAGTCTCATCTAAAACAATGTTTTAAGTATTAACACATGGTGGCAACGCCTAGGGAGAATTGTCATGCACGGAGTAATCTCTCGTGGACCAATTCTCGTGGACAGATGAAATAGTGAGAATCTGTCAAGGCTCACGTAGAATTATGTGATTACGACCAGCAGTAATTCATGGTTTTGAGTTTTTGTGGTTGATTATTTTATGAATCAGGATTGGGCGAAGGTGGTGCTTAAACTGGTGCTGTGATTTGCAAGCCCGTGTGCGGAAAATAAACGGTTTCCACTAGATTCCGTAGCCACAAAGTCAAAATTGGCTGTATTGTTAAAAAAAATCATGAAAACAAAAATGTGCTTTTTGGTCATGATAAACACAGGTGAAATTAGCGGAAGGGCGGGGTTTGGCCAAGACTTCACTTCCTTCCTTTGCACAAAGGTAATCACAATTGTTAATGGCATTCCCCCCAGAAGTAAACAGGAAATTACAAACTTTCATGAGATAATTTGACTTGTGGGTAATCGAGATTATGCACAGAGAAACAGTCTTCTCCAGACAACATGGTGTGGTTACTTCCCCTGCCGTTATCTTTGGCAATAGCTTGATGTGCAATGCACATATTGCTCAAGAAATACTGGGGCTTCCATAAAGTTCTTCAACAATCTTGTGCAGATGGTTAGGATATTAATTACATCCAATGCTAGCTAATACTTCTGCATGCTGTCAACCTTCAGACCTGAGACTGGCAGTCTAAGGCACTGCATCACAGTGCTTGAGGAGTTACTACAGCCCCGGGTTCGATCCCAGGCTGTGTCACAGCCGGCCGTGACCGGGAGACCCATGAGGCGGCGCACAATTGGCCCAGCGTTGTTTCGGGTTAGTGGAGGGTTTGGCCGGACGGTATTTCCTTGTCCCATCACGCTCTACGGACTCCTTGTGGTGGGCCGGGCGCCTGCAAGCTGACTCTGGTCGCCAGTTGGACGGTGTTTCCTCCGACACATTGGTGCGGCTGGCTTCCGGGTTAAGCGAGCAGTGTGTCAAGAAGCAGTGCAGCTTGGCAGGGTTGTGTTTCGGAGGACGCATGGCTCTCGACCTTCGCCCGAGTCCGTAGGGGAGTTGCAGCGATGGGACAAGACTGTAACTACATTTACATTTTACATTTTAGTCATTTAGCAGACGCTCTTATCCAGAGCGACTTACAGTTAGTACAAATTGGATATCACGAAAAATAGGTAAAAGTACAACAAAAATAAAAAATAAAACTGAGACTGGTGTTGTTGGTGACTGGTGAGTAAATGTTGGTTATACTACCTAATGCTAGCGAGCCAGGCTAGCTATGATACTGTGATGTATCTAGCTAAATACAAAGCCTCTCCCTAACGTGTAATGTGATGTAATGTCAGAGGAATATTTGCATTACTAACGTGAACAAGCTAGCTAGCTACCTTGCTAGCAACAGCAAGGTGGAGGGATCTCGATTGGTTATCATGCCAGATCTTGCTAACTGTAGCCTATTCATTGGCATTTCAGGTTTGATAGGATGTAGCCAGCTTGCTTTCAATAATGTTCCAACTCGAACTGGCTAGCTAAGATCCCTGCTAGCTAATGTTACCTATCTAGCTAACTAGTGAACGTTACCTAATTTCAAGTCAGATTTGCAAATTAGATAGCTACCAAGCTAGCTAGCTACAGAGTTAGGGAAGCTAGGTAACTAGCTAGCTAGCATTCGAGGGCTTCAGCTAACCCAAAACCAAAACAACAACATTGTGTATTCTCTAGGGCAAAAATAATGATGACAGACAAGGCTGAGCCCCTCCCGTTTCAGAGAAATGGAGGACACTTGAATCAGGTTGGTCACATTTGATCTCGCCAAAGCTCCAAATACAATCACTTGGAATTCACCTATCATAACCACCATTGATAATGTAATCTGTGATTTGTGTGTTTTTATGTGTCTTTATGTTGTAAGGAGGTGCCACCTTCCACTATGTCAATGGACTAGCCTACTCCTGGGCCCGGGTGAGTAATGCCATCGGTGCCATCCTTCTGAATCTCACATCTGCCTGTAGTTATTGAACTCTTCCTGCTGGACCCATGGGTTGAGGCAAACTCTTTCATATCCAGGATGGAGTGTCATGCACTCCACCCCTCCTGCCACCTGACTCCACCTGTCCATAACCTATAATACATGACATAGATGGAAGGGACTTCATCACCCACTGGAGACTTGAAGACAGAACCTCACCCAGAGAGCTGTGCATGTCAGTGTGTGATTAGACAGACATATCCTTAGATTTGGCCAAGAATACCTATGCCATTCTAGTTCTGGTTATACAGCTGAAGATGAACTCTACACACACTGTATTTTCATTTGCTAGGTAAAGTGTCGGCATAATGTCTTTATAAGAACATCAATATGATATTTACAGCAGAAAATGTTTTGTCAAACAAACGCATTCATTTTTAGTTGATAAATGTATCTACACTCAAGCTGGGCGATGTTTGTTTGTGCAATATCCACATGTAGCCTACACCTGTAGGGATATGAGTAATTCTGGGATTTGTCCCCCGGGAAAGATCTAACAGCGGACATAAGGAGAGACAAAACTAGCCAGTTATAGAATATTGTTGTGTTATAGGACAGCTGAGCTGACTGAAGACCGGGCATTCAACTCGCAGTTGATATAGTTTCCACTGTACCATGTCTTTACATGACGTGACTAAACTTTGAAACTAAGTCGCAAGCTACTTCCATAGCAAGGTGTTGTAAAACGAGTGTCTAATGAAACACATTCCACACACTGGCTCTTGCTATCTTGGCATAACTGTGATTTGACAGAGAAAAAGCTAGCTGCAGTCAGCTTGGCTTAACACAAGGTCAGCACAGGCTTGGCGAGTCAGTCAGGAGGGGAGAAGTCCTCAACTTCAAAACTTCTCTCAGTAGCAAAGTTAGCTTAGCTTACCTCGTTGTCACTACTCACTACTGCCCTTGTTTGTTGTGATTGAATGGTAAAGACACCACCAAAAAATACCCACATCAAACCACACCCCCAAGACAACTCTCTTTTGGCTTCAGTCATGGCCACTTGCATTTGTTAATACATTTTTTTAAATGAGGCCAAATCAGGATGTTCAGTGCCCTTTAAAGTGTTACTAGAAAGTGTTGTCCAAAATAACAGGATCAGTGTTTGCTTTCCATCTATATAAATGAAAGTTTGACTCCTTTTTCACTTGTATCATTTCTCTTCTGTTAGGCTTCTGTTATTGAGAGAAGACCTGTGTTTGGATCAACAATGAAACAGGCAATCATTGACATACTCACAGAGAGAATTGGCTGTAGTTGACCACACAATGTAGCACTCCCAATAAGTCCTCATCCCAGTAAAGGTCACAGAACTTCTCTTTCACAACATTGCAGAATGTCTGGTACTGTAGGTCCTTCAGAGACAGGACATACTCCCCTTTAAACACATAAACATGAGACAGTACATCAATTACAGGATTTTAGACAGAAAGCTTGTCATACAAGTTCACACCAGTGATCATACTCTTCAATGACACAACTCTAGTATCTCTCTACAAAGCAATTAACCTAACCAAATTCACTGGGGGGGAAAACAGGGATAGCGGGCTACTAGCCTGGTGCCATATCTGTTTGTGCGGTCTTACCAACTGGTGTGACAAGAACCGTAGCGGTTGTCAAAACAGTCTAAACCGATCTGGGGCCATAGGCTACATGAGAATGAATATTAATCTCCATGTTACTTACCCATTGCTAGATCCTCTACACCATTCTCCAGATAGCCATCAAAGGCAAACTCTGCCCTGAGCAGGCCAATAACCTCCTGTAGGGAAGGGTTCATCAGAGGGGATGGGGGAGGAGGGGAGTCTCCCTGAGGAGGTCCATGGGACTCTGATAGGTGTTCACCCTCACCTTCTCCTGTCCTTGGACCTCCTTCTCCATTGTGGGGATGGGGCATGGACGCTGTGGGGTCTGAGGGTCTGCTGCAGGTGCTGCCATTAAGGCAATCCAAAAGAGGTTCAACTCCCTGGCCAGGGGTCAGATGGTCTCTAGGGCCCCCTGGATGTGTGGGCTGACCCTGGAGGTAGCTGGAGCTTGAGGTCACGGGCAGATTGAGCTCCAGACCATGGATGGACTCAGGGACTGTTATCTGCACTGGCACCAGGGTTAAGCGCCCTGTTAGAGGGTCCTGACGCAAGAGGAAGTTGTTGAAAACACCACCACCAGTCAGATGAGAGCAGGATGATGATTGGCAAGAGAAAGATGAAGTCAATTGGGTGGTCGGAGGAGGGAGTGTGTGGTCTGAAACGGGAGTCCTCTGGTTGGTGAGTTCGGGGGAGGTGGGAGGTGGAGAGTTGACCAATGTCCTGCCACTATAGGCAGTGGAGGAAAAGTTATGTGTGACCACGCTCCTTTGATTGACAGGGCTGTCCTGTCCGTCGTCCTGTAGGTCTCTATCTGACTGAGGTAGGGGTGGGTCCTTAAGGTGTGAGAGGGTTTCTCGGTCCTTGGCCTCTTGCACAGGCTGGATTTCACTGCCTCTTGTGACTTCACTTATAGTCCTGGAACCCAAAATTATGTGAAAATTAAAAATGCATTCTTGAAATCAGCGCTAAAATTCAATGACATCTTTGCAATAATCAATAAAGCAACTATGGTAAGCTCCACCTTGCAAAGACATCAACAGTGTGTGAAATAATTCCTTGACTGGTAGCTCTCATCTCCATAGAAAGGAGGCATGCTGCTTACCCCTCAATGTCTGAAGCAGGCAGGGGAGTTTCTTCCTTAGTGTCCCCCTCCCTGGTCAGGACGATGGGGGTGAAGTGTGTGGCAGGGGAGGTGAAGGCCTCTGGAAGCTGGGGTGCTCTGCTAATTGGATAGCTATGGGGAACAGGGCCAGGTACAGGAGCCAATCGGCTCTCAGTGGCCATGGGCACAAACCCTACACACAGTTACAACAATCTCAGTTACAACATCAATACCATTTGATGATCACAAATCTGTATGTAGATGCAAGGTCAACGAAATCGCATGAACATAATGTCTGAAAAGATTAATTAATCCTACCACTCTTGATACGTGTTGATTCCTGACTTGAGCTTACTCTACTGTCCAATCCATTCTGAACCTCTGCATCAATGTCCTTTGTGAGTGGCTGAAAGGTAAGGGAGGGAGTTATCCTCGACAGACAATAATGGAATAGCAATGTGTCCTCCCTTTCACTCTGAGGGGCAGTATGTTTCTCACTACCCCTGCCAAACAGTAGCTACAGTGGTACAGTGGAGTGATACCGGGTGGACTCTGTTGATCAGCTTCGTCCACACTGTCTCTGCATTCGTTCCTTGGCGTGATAGATAATCCCGACAGCTCTGTAACAGCAGAAACATAATAAAATACATTAAAATCGTATACCTTAGCACCTAAGATCCTTCATTAATGAATTTGTTCATCAAATCAAACTTAATTTAAAGTGTATATAAAATCGCAACACACTTTACAGTAAAGAAACTTTGCTCATTCATTCATTCCCTTAATTTAATTAACCAGGATAGTCCACTTAGTAACAATTGCCACTGCTTTCCAGGGAGTCCTACAGATACTTTGCTTTCAAATTGAGATAATTGGATTGTTACTAGTTTAATTACAATCACTTTTATGAATTAAAAGGTGAACAAAATATAATATTGTGTCACGATTGCCGGCTATTAAAAATGCTAAATGATGTTACATATGTAATTAATGTTACTAACACATTGATCAAAAGAAGAATAGATGAATGTGCTTTCAATCAAGTGGTTGAGAGCTGAAACTCTGACTACCTTTTTAGCTACGACAATGGAAGGTCTCTCGATGGGCGTCCTCTTGGCCATCTCCAGCAGCAGCATCTTCAACTTCCTGGGCATAGCCAGCTTCTGATTGGCTGACAGGTTGAACTTGGCCGTGGCCCATAGGATGGCAGCCACCCCATAAACGCAGGCCTAAAAACAGACAGAAGGACGGGCGGGTGGACAGAGAGATAGACATACAGATGGACAGACAGACAGACAGACGACACCCACTTAATCAGTAATCAAAAGCATCTACTTGATGGAGAAAAAGGTTTTATTTTAAAAGATGAATGTCAGAAGTTGAGGCAAACCTTTTCAGTTACGATTCCATGATCCTGGAATTCAGGCGCCAGATAAAATGCATCGCAGGATCCTACGAGGAAAATTCACGTTGAATTATTGAATGTGACAACATTTCAATGAATGTTCCTTCAGACACTTTACTCAAGACACTTTTCTCAAGATAACTTTTGAATATTTGAAGTCACAACAGTTGTAAATAAATAAAGAGAGACAAATAATAAATGGAAAGTGCTGAAGTAACTTTATCATTCCAACCAGAGACAATTGCTGACTACCGTGTACCCTATAAGCAAAAAGAGCCATACCTGTGTTTTTAGGTTTCAAGAAGAGAACTTCTCCCTCACAACCCACATACATTGTATCCAGGCATAGGTATGCTTTCAGGAAGGAAATAAAGAATATGAAAGAAGAGTAAGAGGTTAATACATTACATAACATGTATGTCAAACTAAACAACGTTTAAAATGATTTATTGGCACTGCCATAGTGACGTTTTCCCATTATAATTTCATCAACAGCAAAGTGGTTTACAGAGACCAGACAAGGTGAGGGATTGGATGCTTACTGCTTAGTAAATAATGTAATTGGTTTACACAGAGAATCAGTGGTTGGTTAACTGAAGAAGTGAGGAGTCCAACCTGGGTAGTCTATGTAGGTCTGCAGTGTGGAGAGGCAGGTATGACACAGGGCCCATAGCTCATTCACAGACAGTCTCCGCCCACTTCGTGTGAGTAGATCCCTCAGAGAGATCCACTAGGTCACAATCAATAAAAAGCACTGTTAACATTTATTTCCCTCTTGGCCAGTTTAACGGTCCCAGATTAAGCCAGTCCTGGACAAAATACCATGCTCAATGAAAAATCACCACCGAAAGTGCTTTTTAGTTCAGGAATAGGCTTAATCTGGGTCTGGGAAACCGTTCCGAAGAGTTGTGAACAAGAACTTTCCTGAAACAAAGGCATGTAAATCTACATACAGTGTACAGTATATGAAACTAAGCCTTGAACTCACCTCATCCTGAGATTCTTCATTGAGGCACAGCATGCTTTTAGTCATGTGATTATTGGGAGTGTAAAGGTTTGAGGTTGAAGTCATGTTGCAAGCAGAGTCGACCGACACGTCCGGGTCTTGAGCTGGGCGGGACAAAGAGGGATCATCTCGTGTTCCACTTTGACTGTCTGAATCTGTTTCACCACCACATATGGGCAGGGGAGAATCTCTTTCCCCTTCTAATGTCTCACTGTCTCTCACTGAGTCCCATTGCTCGGAGTCATTGCACTCATAAGGGGCCTTCTCTCTGTCCCCTCTCTTGCTCCAAACAGACCCGTGCCCCATGCATTCCTCAGCTCCTATCTCTGTGAGGTCCGATACATTGACACTGATATCCCCGTGCGGCGCGGGGGGGAGTGCAGGGGGATTATTGGAGTCTGGGATGGAGCAGGAACGATTCAGAACCCCCCTCACCCTCCCAGCCCTCTCCTGAGCCCTCCGGTGTACAGGAGAACTGTTCTGAGATCTGCTATCCAGCTGAGAACCAAACATGTCCTCCTCTCTGACACATCCATTCTCTTCCACATCCCCCATACCGTCAGCCCAAAGGGTGGAGTCCCAGGCTCCACATATGTGATGCCGGTGAAGGCCGTTGGGGTCGTTTAGGTCTGGGTTCTCTGCCGTGGTGTCTGAGACAATGCCCTGGTCTTTGGAGCTACTGTCCTCAGAGCTGATGCTCTTGTGGAGCTGCCAGTTGGGTTTGGGCTGCTGCCATCGAGCCTCCCAAGAGCCATCCCACCCATCTGTGGATGGATACACAGGTAGTATGGTTATGGCCACAGTGGACTACAATAGAAATGTATGTTTACATCGATATCCACAGACATATCTCATGTCTAAAGGCTAACCTTGAAATGTTGCGACGGATTCGATTGACAGAACTCTTCTTCCTATAGAAGAGAGTTTCCGGCACAGGGCTGTGGAAGAGGTATCTACTAGCTTTTCCTCTGCAAGGGAGAGGATGTCCTGAGGGGAAGATACATAATATATCAGCTAACATAGACATAAAGTACATACTTTATGACGCAATGGTAAGTTTAGGTTTATATCGAAACGGTACGTTTCTAACATGTACCGTTCAGATGATATTAATATAAATATAAACTATGCACTTTAGGGGGTTTAATAAGTTTTTGCCATTTCATTGTTGATGACTAATTGTTGAGGACAAAAGAAAATACATCCTGTAAAAAAGAAAATACATCCTGTAAAAAAGAAAATACATCCTGTAAAAAAGAAAATACATCCTGTAACTGGTGTAAACTTCATATTTGAGTTTTATCCCCTGGGCAGAATTCTGGTTTCATGCATGACTAGTGATTTTAGTCGTTCGTTTGACCTGCTGGCCCCAATAAGTCCTACTGCAGGATTGATTCACTCTCCTCCTGCTCAGAGGATCTAGAGACGTGCTCTGCTCCGACCAATAACTGTCTGTCATATATGCGCACAGGACAATAGATCATGCAGCAGGCAACATAGAGAATGTTTAGAACTAATAATGGATCGCATAGTGCAAGAATGAATTCAATTAATTGATTATTGAATGTTATGATGGACACAGCTTTATAGAACCAAAACATACACCACCTCTGCTCAACAATCTCGAACTTGAGAACGAATCGTTTGGGGGGACTGCAGTTCACAAATGATATTGTGCTTATCACCCTCACAGCAGTCAAGCAATGCATTCTGCCAAGAGTCGTTCACAATCTAGTCCGGTTGCGGCCACAACTAGACCTTGTTTCAAATGTATCAAGAAATAATCGTATTTGTATGCCTAGCAATCAGCAAATGTACATTGTTTAAAGCAGTCACAAATGACAGCTCCAATAAGCCCACTATGGTGAACGAGATGTGAACGGCAGGCTTGTAGAATCATCTTTTGAGTTTTCAGTTCATCGTTCACCGGTAGGGGGGTCCTGCGTGCTCTGGGCATTACTGACTCAAATGAACAAAATTAGTCGAAAGATATGTTCTTTTCACTGAACGAGTCGAAAAGATCAGAGTCAGTAAAAATAGCCGAACTTCCCACCACTACCTATCTGCATTGCACTGTCATTGCTCCTCCACACGGTGCTGCTCATGTTCACTGTCTGTGCACATCCATTACAGTTGCATATCAGTATGTCATGTCTCTTGTATCATTTTGCCAAAGGTGCTTCTACAAAGTATTGACTCAGGGGTGTGAATCCTTATGTAAATGAGATACCTGTATTTCATTTTCAATACATTTGCAAACATTTCTGAAAACATTTTTCCACTTTGTCACTACGGGGTATAGTGTGTAGATGGGTGAGAAAAATAATAATTGTAATCCATTTTGAATTCAGGCTGTAACACAACACCATGTGGAATAAGTCAATGGGTTTGAATACTTATGTTATGTAGAATACTATCATTTTGTGATCTTACAGACATTGATTGAGCTTTGATCTAACTTTATTAAATGAGCACCATTCTCCATTCATCACTGAAATTCGCCAGAGTAGCCTGTTGGTAGCCTGTTGGTAGCCTGTTGGTAGCCTGTTCTCTGGGCAGCCAAACGAGTAGATCAGAGACTGTGCGTAAAGTAGCGAATTCCGCACATGCACAGAAGCTTTGGACTTTTTGCTATTGGGAAGAGGCTTGCAGAGAATTCGGAATCGCAGCCACTTAATTTGTATAATAAGAGCGTAAAGACAGCACTCCATTAAAGTTCATCCATGATGGTGATATTACCTGGGGGAGTGGTCTGTCCTCTGGCCCCTCCTCCTGCATCTGCTCCAGCAGTCTCTGAATCTCCTCCCCCAGCTCTGCCTCCAGCTCTGGCTCAATGACAAAGTCCAATGCGGCAGAGAGGGTGGAGCCCAGAGAGTACACATGTCCCTGGAGGAGATACAGAGTGTCATTGACCTCAAACTGACCCATAACATCCACCACACTACAATTGTTTATCATATAAAAAACAATAAGACTGCTTAGACACGTTTACACTGCCTGGACATGTTCACCTTAAACCATATGGGAATTAAAACCTCAAATATGTGTCATTTATCTAATGTCAGCAGCTCATGTACTAAAAAAGAAGCCATAAATCACTACTGTCCCATGACAACCTCAATTTATTAGTATATGCAGCACAAGTCCTTTGGGCATCTCTGTGGGGTCTTGCTGGAAACTAGGCCTAGTTGGCATGCTTTTGGTTGAGGAAGTAATTCATCAGGCCTTTATGAAGTCAATAAAGCTGCAGTAGGCCAGGCCAAGGCCAGGGCCATGTTCCTCCCTAATATGAGCCCCTTCAGATCCATTAGGCCAATAGCAACCATCGAAAGCCACTAGAATATCGCCAGCTGATCTCTCGTTAAACAATCAATACGCACTAAAATAACCCGCACAGCTGATCTCAATTGCAACCAACATTACCACTCCCTAACGTGGATGTTGAGGTTATCTTTTAGTCTTGATTACAGCCAACATTTTTCAAGACTATTTCACCTTCTGGTTGGTATTATCAAGGGAACAACTTATTCCTACTTTATGGGCAGACTAATGGCGATTTATCTATTTGACAATCATTCCTTACAGTATTAAAGTATTTCCTAATTTACCACGGCATATCTACTGTGGGTAATTGTCAAATAGATAAATATATGCAAACTGGTATTGTTCCTAAAGACTTGAAAATTGAAAGTTATCCCCCTCCATAAATCTATGGATCCAAGATCTTTTACATATTATCGCCCAATATCTGAACTACCATGTTTTCCTATAATCCCCCAAAAATGGTTTATAACAGAATGTTGAAACATTTAAATCAACCCTGTTTTCCATATGAGCACCAATACGTTTTTCGTAAAAACGACTCCACAGACATGGCTCTTTTGCAACTGGTGGATAAAATCTTTACAGCACTTGACAACAATGAATACGCTCTAGGCACCTTTTTAGATTTATCCAAATCGTTTGACATGGCTGAAATATTACTTTCTAAATTGCATTATTATTCATGATTATACATATAATTGGTTATATAGTTATGTTTATGATAGAGAACAATTTGTTTATGCAAACGGCTTTGCATCTACCAGGGCCAAGATATCCTGTGGCGTGCCACTGGGTTTGATAATTGGTCCTTTGTTATTCCTAATCAATACTGAGCTACATCCCTGCCGGCCATTCCCTCCCCTACCCTGGACGACGCTGGGCCAATTGTGCGCCGCCCATGAGTCTCCCGGTCGCGGCCGGCTGCGACAGAGCCTGGATTCGAACCAGGATCTCTAGTGGCACAGTGCGATGCAGTGCCTTAGACCACTGCGCCACTCAGGAGAGTGATGATACCAATTAGATTTTTGCTGATGATACCAATTAGATTTTAGATTTAGATTTTAGATTAGATTTTATCCCACAAAAATGTGGATTCACTAATTAATGAAGTCAACTCAGGCATGGTCAAATTTTCTGAATGGTTCCAGATAAACAAATAATCTTTAAATGTAAAAAAATCTAACTTTATTCTATTCACTATTCAGAATAAGAAAAAAAAAAAAAAAAAAAATTAAAGAGCCAGAATCTCAATTAGTGGGAATGAAATGGAACAAGTCACATCCATTAGATTCCTTGGAGTTCTAATTGATGAAAAGTTATCCTGGACAGATCATATTCAATTTGTCTGCAGCAAAGTGATGAAATCTGTTAGTATCATAAGACCGATAAGTGGTTTGGTTCATCAGGCTTGCTTCCTAACTCTATACTATAGCTTAATTTACCCATATCTCATTTACTGTAATATTGTCTAGGCCAGTACATATGCCTCCTACCTACACAAATGACTCATCATACAAACTACATTTGCAATCCTAGTCAACTCCTCTAATTACCTGGCTCCATCTGCACCTTTGTTTAAGAAACTCAATATCTTGTCTATTTACGACATTAATGTACGCCAATTATGCACTTATATCTACAAATACTCATACCTCCCAGACAGTTTACATTTCAATGGATTCTTCCAGGTTAATTCTGAAATCCATCTATATAGCACAAGACACTGCGATAACCTTCACCCTACCCACTGCCGCACCTCACATAGTAAATTCTCTATCAGATAAAGAGGTACCATACTCTGGAATTCTTATCTTCACATTGCCAAAACATCATCATCGCTCAATAACTTCAAGCGAAGACTGGGGGTCAGCCTGATGAACCAAACTACTCAGTAATCTCCTCCATATAGCCTAACTCTCACACACTCACATGAACGCACACATTTAAACAAAACAAATACTGTTAATTTTTTTTCGTGATTACTGATCAATTCATTTGTAATTAGTATTAATTTATACATTTATAATTAGTAGGTTTTGTTATCTGTTTTAACAAACCTTTTTTATTTTTGTACTTATGTATTGTTGGTAATTTTTTTGTGGTGTGGTTTTCATATAAGCCCTTGGGCTTCCAACCACACATGCACACCGTTTTTTGAAAATTATTTGTTTTCATCTTTATTGTTGTTTATCACTTGTTTTCTTTGGTTTAAATAAATTAAACTTAAACTAAAGTTAATTCAAATGGCATTTATTATTTTGCCATTTAAAGTGAAACGTTTGAATGAAATACAGGCCTACTACTTCTATATTCTTTACATTCATCAGCCTTATGGTTTTCGATGCTCCTGATAGGTCAATATTTAATTGGGAGCGGGATTAGAGAATCTAGACCAGCTGTCTGGTATCATAATTGCTTGACACGGTAACAACGAGAGATCAACTGATCTGCTGGTTTATCCTTATTGGTTTTGTTGTTGCAACCAAGCAAAGTTTAGCCCGCAGGTGCGTGTAATCTCCCGTTAGTAGTGTTTTAAGAAATCCAGCGGTAACATGCACGAGTGCGTTAAGTTCTGCCTGTTCGTTGTAATCGAGCCATTATGCATGGCAGGCAATGCATTCTGGGGCCTCATCCAACAAACGCATAATGATCTCTCCATATTTGCCTTGGATCTCATTGGATCATTGGCTACAATACCAGGAGTCAGTGGAGATGAAATTACAGCGCATAAGTGGGAATTTCATGAGAGCCTGTCTCTTTGTAAGCCTCAAGAGACTGATAGCTGAAAAGTCAGACACTTTTACCCCAGTGAACTATCATTGTAACTTGCAGATATTTGACAGTCTTCTCTTGTGCTTTACTTCGGGGAATTGTGCTCTCCGTTGCAATTATGGTTGACATGTTGGCTCTTGAATGAATCTGAACCAGGTGTTTTTTAGGTCAAATCTCGGACAAGATACGTATTGCAAACAATTAAAAGGAATGCAACCCATACTTATGTGGTGGATATGGGAAAGGTGGAAGATACAGATCTCAATGTGTGAGACATAACACATAAACATGTAAAGAGCCAGAACATGTTAAATCCACCAGCTGCTGAAAGGTCATGTCGAGTTCCCGTTGTGTGCACAAGCAGGTCCCAGCCATAGAAATAGAATTACTAGAATCAATTGTATTTCTATGGCCCCAGTCGCTCCACTTGGAGCACTTATGTACATTGGAAGACTAGTTACATTAGACAAACATAGACACACACATTAAACCTGAAATTGAGCAACTGATAAATGTGGTCAAGACAGGAAATCAATTCATGGGGCTACACAACGCAGAGGAAGAAATTAGAGAGAGGGAGATCTGATAGAGAATAAGTGAACAAAAGACGAGAGAGTGGTGGAGGGAGGGAAAATAAGTGAATCAGACAGAAAGATAGATGTAATGAGAGAGAGTGAAATACTTTCTTAGTGAGACGTATTGTTATCCTCTGTATTTGCTGCTATACATAAAGCTAATTATGATTCCTTTGATTTCCATCATGTTTGTTTTGAAATAGCGTTTATGTAATATTGATTTCTAGTAAATTAAGTATGGTGGACTAATGTGTATGCACAGTGTTCTTCCAACGAACTTCAACAGTGAAAGGTTGTTGCCGTATTGTGTATTTTATTAAGTCCAGTAAAAACAATAAACGGAAGAGAATGTCTTGAGAAGCAATCTTATCACTTCCTTTCTAGCGGACATATTTCAGAGTGCAAGTCTTCTTCTAAATGCCAAATTCCACTTACTTGAATATATAAGAAAATATTAGAAAAAGGCCTGGAAAAACGAAAGGCACCTCAAAACTGTTGTTTTCTTTCTTGTTCTCAACCCTTCATTTCAAGAATGTATTGTAACATCTGCTACAGTGAGTGGCAATACATACTGTGAAGTAGCCATTTGTAGTGAAAGGATCCACTTACCTCAAATGTACTGCCAGTCTTGTCAAACTCTGGAGGTATAAACGAGCCCTCAGGGTCATCTGCAAGACAAGCATACAAAAGTACATCTAGTTATGTATAATAAATGTTTTATTATATGTGGTGTTGGTAGGCCTATTTTTCCACACAACATTTGATCACATTATTCCATCTTAATTGACAATATGTGGCCAATTATAAGACCAGGTGCTAAGCCAATGAAACCACTTGTAACCAGTCATCTACATAATTCAGTCCAGCAGAATAAGCACACAACAATCCAACTTGTTAATAAAATGTGTAATAAATGTTTGATTACATGTAGTGTTGGTATCAGTCCTAATTGACAATATGGGGTGCTAAGCCAATGAAACTACCCACTCATACTGTATATCATTAATTAGCTCAGAGACAATCCCAGACAAATGAGACTGCAGCTATCTCCTGATCAGAGCCTTGGTGTTGCGATGCGGAGCATCTTCAGTCTTAAGTAGGCCAGTGTTTGTGCTGGGGTGGAAGCAGGGATAAAGCCGCCCGCCCTCAGCCTCCTCTAACCACAGTTAAGTAGGTCAGGTCTAGATTTGGGGCTGTCTCTGACTACTGGAGTTTTGACGGGCTCCAAGACAGGAGGAGGTCAGACACTCCAGAGGGTCAGAACGAACGGTCCAAGGAGAAGTGAGTACTATTGGGTAGAGACAAAAACACAGAGGGAGAGAAGAGAGGAGAGGTCGAAAGACTGAGAAACGGAGGTGGTAAGAGAAAGGAACGATAGGTATTGTAAGTGGATTGTAATACTGCAAAATGAGAAATCCATCGGTAAACAGGGAAATACCTGTATAAAGTGTTGTTAATAAGAGGTTTGGGTTTATTTGGTTATACAAAATGTTTAATTGAAAAAGGGCAATTGCAAATTCGCTCATTCTGAATACAGAATATTCGGCTATTTCAGGAGGTTCAACAGTAAAAGGCTACGGCCAGATCAAAGGTAAGCTGGCTCTATGATATGACAGGAGGGGCAAACACATAGGAAGGAGACTGCAGTGAACTCAATGAGTGAAGGAATGTGCTCCCTAACACTATGATTGAGAAAAACGACCTAAATTAAGGCTCCCATATTCTCCCAGATGAGACTGGAGAGTGCTTATATGAACATTTATTACAATGTGGTCGAGGTGTCATAAAAGTGTAATGCTATTTTCTACCAATGAATGGATACTGCGCCATGACTTATACACTGCTGCATGCTGGTCATTAACTGGTCACTTAAGGTCACTCTGTAGGCTCAATTCCTGAGGGGACTCGTGATGATCTCACACATGCATCAGTATTCAAGAAAAAGCTCCTAAGCTCAATTAAACCTAATCAATGCAGGGGAGAAAAGTAGTATTGGCATGTAAGTGCTGGTTAGTATTTCATTGTGGCTAAAACAAATCAACCCAATTAGTGATTAGCAATATATTCTAATGTGAATCCAGGGTGAGTCAAAGGCACTGATAGGCAGCTGACTGCCAGAATATCTGTTACCAGGGCAACAATCCCCTTGGCAATGTGGACACTGTTGAGCTCATCAATGCTTATCAATTACTGATGTTGCCATGGGGAAAATGGGAGGCTATCCCTGAATGGTTATGTGTGTGCATGGGTTTGTGCGTGTGTGTGTGTGAGCATCTGGTGCGCATGTATGTCTGTGCGTCCATGCTTACGCGTGTGTGTGTGTTTACGTGCCTGTGTACGTTTGTGTGGAACGGACAACGGGGCTGAGTGTGACAGGCGGTGACGTAACCCTGTTTGGTAAAAGACAGATGATTGCGGTTCGCTGAGAGGAGAAGAAGCTAGTCTGTTAGCGGAGAGGATTTATCACAATGTCTGAGGGACAAGCCATAGTGAGAAAGCGGCAGAGTATCCTGAACATGAAAGATGTGACTCAGTTTCACCAACCCTCTCCATCCAAATGAGACCAGGCACTGCAGACGACTGCAAAATCACATCACACAGATGTAATCACACAAAGGCTCAGCATTTTTTTATTAAGAGACAGCCCTCTTTTGCAAATGCAGCCATTTTACATTTCAATACTTTTGGGAACAGGTGTAACTTTCTAGTTTGAGACATATACTGCTGACCAAAAGAGAATATGGAAACAAACTTTTCATGGGGAGGAGAGTCTGGGCCCCTATTCATAAAGCATTTCAGAGTATGAGTACTGATCTAGGATCAGTTTGAACTTTTAAATCATAATAAATAGAAGGGGGGACCTGAATACAGGCCCTGATCTTCATGATCCTTTGACTTCCCATAGGAAGGACATATTGATCTATGACCTCAGGATACCATGGTGGATCAGATCAGACAGATTGATCAGTGGAGAGAGTGCTGCTTCAGCCTTTTACAATAGCAGACACCACTGACTAACAGATGTACTGTATGGGACGAAACACCAGATAATCCACTGAATAACTGATAGACCTGGGTCGTGTTCATTAGGCACCAAATGGTAGAACATTAACTGAAACAGGGAGGGACTACCTGGACTTGTCCAATAGGACACACTGATTTTAGTTTCCCGTTGCAAATCATTTTAAATGTTTGTGTGTGCCCTAATGAATGTGACCCTGAATAGACAGGGAGACTTCATCGTCTGTGAGGTAGAGAGGGCCATGTTGGGCTGTGTTGGACTGTGTTGGGCTGTGTTGGGCTGTGTTGAGCTATGGAGGGTTGTGTTGGGCTTTGTTGAACTGTGTTGACTCACCACTGAGCTGCTCCATAAAGCACACGTTGCCATGGGCGTTGAAGGCCAGGGTGTCGGGCGTGATGCACAAGGTGTGGAACAGGGGCGATGGGGCGATACTCTGCAGAGCCAGGACACACTCCACACACACCGCCCACACCTCCTGCTCCGTCAGACAGATGTCCCGCAACGACAGGATATCTGCCAGGGACACGTTCTCCTGTGGGCACACACACATACACACACAGCAGTAACAAGCATGCACACGCAAAATTAATACAGTAAGTGTCATGCAGCAATACACCCACTTACACCCACATCCTTGTATGTCATGCTGCAAACAGTGGAAAGCCAAATGGGCACATTTCGTGTTATGAAGAAGCCTAATTGCATCCATAAATAGAAAACATCTCATGGCATGTTTGACATTTTCAGTGTGTGAAGAAGACAGGATCTTTTGTTGGCTTGGCACATGAGCACAAAATAAAGTATTTGATGCCACTGAGATAAAGAGACTCCATTGTGATGTGGTGTCCAATACTCTGCATTTCCATTATGTGCATGTGACTGGACAGTGTAACAGACCACTGTCTTTTCACAATAGCCTAGTCTCATGGGACATGGGCATTCAGTTGTTGTCATTGTTTTTCAGAATTGGAGTCAAGTTGTCTTTCTGAGTGGAACGATGAGCTCATCACTAGGACGTCCCATTCTCAATAACGTTCCATTATTCTTTTCTCTGTAAAACATCTGGGTCCGTATACACAAAGCATTTCAGAGACGGAGTTCTGATCTAGGATCAGTTTCGTCTTTTAGACCATAATGAATGAGATTACATGGACAGGGGGGGACCTGATCCTAGATCAGCACTCCTACTCTGAGATACTTTGCAGGCCCTGGTTTTGTGTCTTTGTCATACATTTAAAAAAGTTGGAACTGGAGTGAATACAGAATATCCTTCTTCGATTGATCTGAGAGAGATCTAAGAGATTATTGTTTGTTACAAAATATTTTTGGCAGAAGGTGAATAAAGCACACCTAAAATGCTGTATAATATGGCACAATAATAGGTCAAAAAGATGTCACTGTAAGCAGCAGCATACAGTAAGCCTATAAATAGAATGTTTCCCTTGAGAACAGTGCAGAGAAACATTGAGTCTCTCCCTCCCTCCTCAAGTTAAATATGCTGGCCTACATAACTTTCCCTCTCACCATAAGAGCTCTAATAAGACCAACTATACACTGGTGGAGCACCTCCAAGGTTTAGAGAAGGAAATAGAATGAGATAGAGGAAAGAAAAGAAGAGTGAAGTAGTTAGGGACTTTTTTCTGGGTGGGCTACTAAGTGGGTGACTAAGTAATTGAGGGAAATCATGGTGAGCTGTTAGTGGTTTAATTAATCCCTTAGTATTCAAAGGTAAAAAGTGATTACATTTACACTTGTTCCCCTTGTGTGTAGGCTACAGCTGAATGCATCTGTCAGGCTGACCTCACACATACCGCCCTCCACTCAAGATTACCCTGCAGTGTCTCTGGAGTCTCCACACTTGCAAAGGCACCTGCAGCTCAAAACGTCTGGACTGAACAACTGTTCTGCACTGAATCATATTGCTCACTGTACATTGTTTCACATTGGAACTTTAACACTCAAACTGGGGGATGGGGTAGTGTTTTAATGAATACCCTTATTATCCACATAAAGTCAAGAGAGGATACAGCAGGGGTCAATACATCTGTACAGTAAGCTGTGGTGGGTATTACTGTACATCCCACAGTACAATTAATATGGTCCCTGATCACCATGAGAGTTATAAGGAAAGGCCACAGACACATTAATCTTATATTGGTGTCCTGAGAGAGAGAGAGAGAGAGAGAGAGAGAGAGAGAGAGAGAGAGAGAGAGAGAGAGAGAGAGAGAGAGAGAGAGAGAGAGAGAGAGAGAGAGAGAGAGAGAGAGAGAGAGAGAGAGAGAGAGAGACACAGAAAGAGAGAGACAGAAAGAGAGACACAGAAAGAGAGATGTTGTTGATTAAATTAGACCTTAGAAAACAGTATTTTTCAATCATTCAATCACTCGGTCAAGAGCATACAGTGAGAGAAAAAAAGTATTTGATCCCCTGCTGATTTTGTACGTTTGCCCACTAACAAAGACATGATCAGTCTATAATTTTAATGGTAGGTTTATTTGAACAGTGAGAGACAGAATAACAACAACAAAATCCAGTAAAACGCATGTAAAAAATGTTATACATTGATTTGCATTTTAATGAGGGAAATAAGTATTTGACCCCTCTGCAAAACATGATTTAGTACTTGGTGGCAAAACCCTTGTTGGCAATCACAGAGGTCAGACGTTTCTTGTAGTTGGCCACCAGGTTTGCACACATCTCAGGAGGGATTTTGTCCCACTCCTCTTTGCAGATCTTCTCCAAGTCATTAAGGTTTTGAGGCTGACGTTTGGCAACTCGAACCTTCAGCTCCCTCCACAGATTTTCTATGGGATTAAGGTCTGGAGACTGGCTAGGCCACTCCAGGACCTTAATGTGCTTCTTCTTGAGCCACTCCTTTGTTGCCTTGGCCATGTGTTTTGGATCATTGTCATGCTGGAATACCCATCCACGACCCATTTTCAATGCCCTGGCTGAGGGAAGGAGGTTCTCACCCAAGATTTGACGGTACATGGCCCTGTCCATCGTCCCTTTGATGCGGTGAAGTTGTCCTGTCCCCTTAGCAGAAAAAACCCCCAAAGCATAATGTTTTCACCTCCATATTTGACTTTGGGGATGGTGTTCTTGGGGTCATAGGCAGCATTCCTCCTCCTCCAAACACGGCGAGTTGAGTTGATGCCAAAGAGCTCGATTTTGGTCTGATCTGACCACAACACTTTCACCCAGTTCTCCTCTGAATCATTCAGATGTTTCATTGGCAAACTTCAGACGGGCCTGTAATGTGCTTTCTTGAGCATGGGGACCTTGCGGGCGCTGCAGGATTTCAGTCCTTCATGGTGTAGTGTGTTATCAATTGTTTTATTGGTGACTATGGTCCCAGCTGCCTTGAGATCATTGACAAGATCCTCCCGTGTAGTTCTGGGCTGATTCCTCACCATTCTCATGATCATTGCTACTCCACGAGGTGAGATCTTGCATGGAGCCCCAGGCCGAGGGAGATTGACAGTTCTTTTGTGTTTCTTCCATTTGCGAATAATCGCACCAACTGTTGTCACCTTCTCACCAAGCTGCTTGGCGATGGTCTTGTAGCCCATTTCAGCCTTGTGTAGGTCTACAATCTTGACCCTGACATCCTTGGAGAGCTCTTTGGTCTTGGCCATGGTGGAGAGTATGGAATCTGATTGATTGATTGCTTCTGTGGACAGGTGTCTTTTATACAGGTAACAAGCTGAGATTTAGGAGCACTCCCTTTAAGAGTGTGCTCCTAATCTCAGCTCGTAACCTATATAAAAGACACCTGAGAGCCAGAAATATCTCTGATTGAGAGGAGGTCAAATACTTATTTCCCTCATTAAAATGCAAATCAATGTATAATATTTTTGACATTAGTTTTTCTGGATTTTTTAGTTGTTATTCTGTCTCTCACTGTTCAAATATCCCTACCATTAAAATTATAGACTGATAATTTCTTTGTCAGTGGGCAAACGTACAAAATCAGCAGGGATCAAATACTTTTTTCCATCACTGTATATGTGCTTTCTTGAGCAGGGGGACCTTGCAGGCGCTGCAGGATTTCAGTCCTTCACGGCGTAGTGTGTTACCAATTGTTTTCTTGGTGACTATGGTCCCAGCTGCCTTGAGATCATTGACAAGATCCTCCCGTGTAGTTCTGGGCTGATTCCTCACCGTTCTCATGATCATTGCAACTCCACAAGGTGAGATCTTGCATGGAGCCCCAGGCCGAGGGAGATTGACAGTTATTTTGTGTTTCTTCCATTTGCGAATAATCACACCAACTGTTGTCACCTTCTCACCAAGCTGCTTGGCGATGGTCTTGTAGCCCATTCCAGCCTTGTGTAGGTCTACAATCTTCTCCCTGACATCCTTGGAGAGCTCTTTGGTCTTGGCCATGGTGGAGAGTTTGGAATCTGATTGATTGTTTCTGTGGACAGGTGTCTTTTATACAGGTAACAAACTGAGATTAGGAGCACTCCCTTTAAGAGTGTGCTCCTAATCTCAGCTTGTTACCTGCATAAAAGATACCTGGAAGCCAGAAATCTTTCTGATTGAGAGGGGGTCAAATACTTATTTCCCTCATTAAAATGCAAATCAATTCATAACATTTTTAACATGCGTTTTTCTGGATTTCTTTGTTGTTATTCTGTCTCTCACTGTTCAAATAAACCTACCATTAAAATTATAGACTGATCATTTCTTTGTCAGTGGGCAAACATACAAAATCAGCAGGGGATCAAATACTTTTTTCACCTCACTGTATGTTAGCCGTATAGCGGCTGTCCCAATAGGAGAAACCTTTTTGGTTCCAGGTAGAACCGTTTTTGGTCCCAGGTAGAACCCTTTTTGGTTCCATGTAGAACCCTCTGTGGAAAGGGTTTTACATGGAACCCAAAAGGGTTCTACCTGGAACCAAAAGGGTTCTACTTGGAATCAAAAAGGGTTCTTCAAAGGGTTCTCCTATGGGGACAGCCGAAGAACCCCTTTAGGTTAAATAGCACCTTTTTACCCCCCAATAGTGTATTTATTGGGACTGCACAAGTGATGTAACACAGGTGCATATGTCACAGCCAATAAAGTCAGTCCCCTGGGGACCTCAGTCCACAATATTGGTGGTACATAATTCTGGCTGATGTAATATATGTCATTGAGAGAACCTTAATTATGATGATAATAATGTAGGCTAAACATAAATATTTACTCTCACCTCATCTTCAAGGAGTGGAGGCAGATGCTCAACTTCATAGTATTCCTCCTCTTCTTCCTCCTCTTCCCCTGAGAATGCGACTGCATCAGTTCCAGATGTCCCCATTGTATTTAGTTTTAATCAAGACTGTGGATATTTGTAGAATTGGGTGAGTGCAGTGTCACTCCCATTGCCTTAAGCCTACTGTAAAGCGTTTCCCCTTTCCCTTACTGTCCTGGCAACACTGTATCAGGTCAGGAAAGATTACATGAATGAAAGATTACATAAATACGTTTTCCAAACACGGACAGCGCTGGCTACTTTTTAGAGTGTTT